CCATCCCTAAGCTGGGCGAGTGTTTATAAATCAAAAGACTCCATCTAAATGGGAAATTATAACTACCTGCCCATCATAACATCATTATGTTAAACCCTTTTGAATGGGAATTTTAAACAAATAATAATATTCGTCAGAATAATCTCGGCAAGTATAAATATTAAGATTACATTTAAGTACCTGGGGAAGTAACCCTTGGAGATAAATTTGTGACTAGGAATAAAGGTTTTTGTACTGGAAAAGAAAATAAATTATTAAAAAATCAAATATGTTAAATATTATCAATCAATATAGCAATGTTATTATATTATCACAAAATGTGTTGCCGTGATAGAACAATATTATAAATGGTATAATACAATAATAGTATCCTCATCCATTGTTGGTTTGGAACCAAATTTGTCAGCCGAGAGTTAACTAACAATTATTAAATAAGTGTTTATTGATTAAATTTTATATTTTGTTAATATTTATCTAATCAACACATTTTTGAATTTTATTCAAATTAAAAATCCAAATTTTGTGTATCAACTACAAACTTTAAATCCAACATAAAACCATTTTAAATTTCGCGGTCTGTCAAATGGGGTCAGTACGTTTTTTGTTTTTGTTAAGTTTACGCCAAGTTTGCTCCACGTGTTTTCTAGGAGCTATACTCTGCTTTTCATTCTTGAGCCATCTGTGGAGTAGTGACTGAACTCACTGCTAAATTGCTAAGCGAGAACTGTAATGACCTAATGACACTTCAGAACGTCACAAAATGGCTACCAAAGTACCAAGGCGGCTTTTGACAATGTTTTTTTAATACAAAAAGGGCAAGTTGTTTTGTTTTTTTAAATGGAACAGACTGTTTTTTTTGTAGGTTTAATTTTTACATAAAAAAGTAAAATAAAACGATATTTTTGTCAAAATTTACCAAAATAGCCTTTTTTATATGGAAATTTAGAATTTCGCATAAAACTTAAAATTTTATATAAAAAGTTTTCATGTTTTCCAAGATATTCGGATTTTGGAAAAAAAATCAAAATTGTATCACATTTTCCATTTCACTTTGAAACTGAAAAATTCAATATTCTGAAGTGTTGCAAACGTTTTAAGCAAGATAAATCGTTCATCAAAATTTATCCGGTTACTTCGTCCCAAAAACTGATGACGTCATCTCAAAATTTGGCCGAATAAATTTTCGTATTTGTGGTTTACCAATGCATTCAATGTTTTTATAATTATTGATACCGGCTGACTCAAAAAATAATAATAAATGAATCATTCTGTATTATTAATGAACTCAAAAGCCTCTCATCCCATTTTCCTGAATTTTTACTTAAGACCATTTTTTTTTAATTTTTATCTCTGAAGTATTCAAAAAAGTGTCTTAACGAATAGTTTGGGTCCAATTGTAGTAATAACTCTTTATATTTTAAAAAATATATACCTTTTTGTAAATGATAAATATTTTTTTGTTATTAATTTAGCTTCTCAGGGATCAAAGTGATTTATTTTTAATTGCACCTACACATGCTCGCTGCGCTCGCATTCTGAATGTAGTGACGCTACTTAATTTTTATTGTAATAATTCTCGAGATCTCCCTGTCAATGTGCAGGACCGTGTCTTAATAAAGTTGTTAAGATTTTATTGTAAGAATAACGCAATATTTTAACAAAGAATATCAAAAAGGCGAGCGCAGCGAGCATATTTAGATTGCCAGTTTCCTCAACTCCAGCATTTTACCTTTTACAGACAATAAAAAATCCAAGGCAAAATATAAACCCCGCTCACCCACCCCATCTCAATTGTGATGATTTTTTTATTCTTAGAAACTTAAAACACCTTTAAAATGGTAATTTTTTGTAAGAAAATATGGATTTTGCAATTGGGCTACGCCCCTAGGTCTGCCAACGAATGAAAAGTTCATCAGGGCAGGTATGGGTGGAGCTTAATCTTTGGCTTTAATTTTTTCTTAATATACACATTGTTGGAATAACACGATACTGAAAAACATGTATTTCATGGTAATTTCTTGTAGAGAAAAAAATACGGATTTTGCAATTAAATTTCGTTCCTTTGGCTCTCGGCGATTAGAAAAAATCATCACAATTGAGACAGGGCGGGTGGGCGGGGCGTATATTTTGCCTTTTTTCTTAGTATACGTAGTTGTTTTTTCAGAACATGAAACTTAAAACATGTTTAAAACGGCGAATTCTTGGAGACCAATTTGGATCTTGCAATTAAACCCCGCCCCTCGATCTGACAACGAATTAAAAATTCGTCACAATTAGAATTGAGATCGGGGCGGGCATGGGTAGGGCCTAATCTTTGGCTTTATTTTTTTCTTAATATACATAGTGTTCTTTGAACAACAGGATATTCAAAAACACGTTTTTAAATTCTCGTAGCGGGAGTGTCTTTACGGCCCGAAATCTACAAGAAAATGTATTAAGTGAAAATTCGAAAATTTCGTTGAAAATTAGTCGAAAATTGGTCGTATTTTGCGTAGATTTGTGCTTTACAAAGCCCGATTCTGGAAAAACCATTGGAGTTATCGAAGAAAGGAAAGCGGGAGTGTCTTCTACGGCCCGAAATCTACAAGAAAATGTATTCAGTGAAATTTTGAAAATTTCGTTGAAAATTAGCCGAAAATTGGTCGTATTTTGCGTAGATTTGTGCTTTACAAAGCACGATTCTGGGGAAACCTTTGGAGTTATCGAAGAAAGGGAAGCGGGAGTGTCTTCTACAGCCCGAAATCTACAAGAAAATGTATTTTGTGAAATTTCGAAAATTTAGTTGAAAATTAGTCGATAATTGGTCGTATTTTGCGTAGATTTGTGATTTTCAAAGCACGATTCTGGAAAAACCATTGGAATTATCGAAGAAAGGAAAGCGGGAGTGTCTTCTACGGCCCGAAATCTACAAGAAAATGTATTTAGTGAAATATCGAAAATTTCGTTGAAAATTAGTCGAAGATTGGTCGTATTTTGCGTAGATTTGTGAGACTTTTTTTCTTAATATGTGTAGACTTATTTCGACAACAAAAAACTTAAAACATGTCTAAACTGGTAAATTTTTGTAGTAATCAACTTAAATCCTCCACTTTTCTTTTACAGCCCCTTTAAATACGGTAAAAACTAATAAAGCAAAATAAAAATCAATTCAACGGCCACTCACTGAACGAACAAAAATTCGGAATTTTCCTCGCAACTGGACTACAACGCAAGCAATCCAGTTTTTTAGATAAATATTGAAATCTTATTATTTGAATTTTTTATTAAAAAAACGAACAACAAAATCACAAAAAAAGATCGCAAAAGTGCAACAAAAAAGTCGACAAAAAAACAACAAAAAGGTCACAAAAATACAATAAAAAAGCGACGAAAAGGAATACAAAAAGCGCCAAACAACGATGAAAAATTAATAAAACAATTGGAAAATCAGGATATTAGGCAGAAATTCGTTCGTCTCTGCAGAAAAATAAAAGAAATTTAGTTTTCCAAATAAATTATAAAATTTGATTTTGTGAACTTAAAAAAAAAAATGGCACAAAAATGCAACAAAAAAACGGCAAAACATCACTTAGAAAAGTAATAAAGAAGTAACAAAAACGAATGACAAAAAAGAAAACTAAAACAAATATAGCTTATTTTCGCTTGTATAATTACATTATTGGTAGAAACAAAAATATTGATATTTTCATTATCTGTTGGAAATAAATTCACTTATTTATTTATTATTATTTATTCATAAAGAATCAATTAAAAAACGAACCAAAAAACGGCCAAAAAATAATCGTCAAAAACCGCCATAAAAGGCAACAAAAAAGGCCAAAAAAGACAAGAAAAAGCTGCAAAAAAACCTACAAAAAACATCAAGGCAAGCAAAAACTTGGTTTTATCAGGTTATACAGAAATTTTTTCGTCTCTAAGAAGCACAATCGACCACATCAAGCTTTTCAGGTAAATTACACAACCTGATTTTGCGTTTTTATTTTTTCTTATGATAAACCCTATTACTATGACGAAAAAAAATAATGAAAAAAACATTAAAAATACAACAAAAAAACTATAAAAAAGTCAAGAAAAAACACAATACTGACTAAAAAGCGGCAAAAAACAACAAAAACACAGCAGCAAAAATAGAAAATTAAAAAACAACAAAAAAGAGCTCAAAAAAGTCATCAGAAACCCAAACAGAAACTAAAAAAAAGCAGCAAAAAAACCGATATAAAAAATAAATAAATGGTCTCAATAGGTTATTGCACAGACATTCCTTCGTCTATAAAAATAAAACTAGTTTTTTAGAAAATTATAAAATTTGATTTTGCGAAATTTTTATTAAAAAAAGGAACAACAAAATCACAAAAAACGACCGCAAAAATACAACAAACACACATTAAAACAAAAAAGGCAAAATGTAAGCCCGCCCACCCGCCCTCTCTCAATTGTGATGATTTTTTTTATTCGCCATGAACCAAGAGGGCGGAGCGTAACTGCGAAATAGTTATTTTTTTACAAGAAATTATAAACAATACATGTTTTTGGGTATCGTGTTGTTCAAAGAATGTTGTTGAGAATTGAGTTCGGGGCGGATATGGGTGGGGCCTAATCTTTGGCTGTATGTTTTAATGTCTCGAAGAGAAATAAGGATTTTGCAGTTAAGCTCCGCCTTCTTGGCTCACGACGAATAAAATAATCATTACAATTGAGATAGGGTGGGTGGACGGGGCTACCTTCTGTCTTATTTTCTTCAAGTGTGTAGACTTATTTCGACAACAAGAAACTTAAAACATGTCTAAAATGGTAAGTTTTTGTAGTACTCAACTTAAATCCTCACTGGCAACTTGGCAACGGAGTTTATAAATGACAATTTTCAGCTCTAAAAGCAACGTCCGTTGGTATTTCCCGAACCCACTAGAAGGACGAAAATCACTCACTCCGGGCACTAATGACATCTAAATGACTTTGAATTTTATTTTGACAAGAAAAATTGTCACTTGTATTGTCAAAATTGTCAGTGAACATGTCTATCCAAAATTTTTGATCTTCACACAGAAACAGATCTAGAATTTGCAACCGCTATGATAATATGCATCAAAAAACGAACTAGAAATTTAAAAATTTGAAAATTCTTCCAGTCTTGTAGTCTTCTCAGCGTGTTTGCTGTGTTCATTCTAACTTGCACGAATTATGTTTCAGAACAGCTAGTAGTGAAACAGAATGTGTGAAAAATCCTGCGTTGCCTTTTGTAAACAGTAAGTTAAAAACCCCTCTAGACTTCGCACTTCTATTTTCACCCACAGATTAACCCTTGAGGACGTAGAAAAAACAGCAAACTTCTTAAAATCAAAAGTTGACATTCAACCTCGCATTGGCATTATTTGTGGAACTGGTCTAGGTATTGTCGAACTCTATCTATAATAAATTTCTAAAATAGTGGTTTCCTAAGCTGGCATCACCTCCCTTCTCAATAATCCAGAAGTCATCCCTTACGCAAATATTCCGTACTTCCCCATTGCCACCGTCGCCGGCCACGGCAACAAGCTCATTTTCGGCTACCTCGGCCCCACCCCCGTGGTTTGCATGCAAGGCCGCTTCCACTTTTTCGAAGGCTACCCCCTCTGGCAAGTCGTCTTTCCCGTCCGAGTGATGAAACTCCTCGGGATCTCCACGCTCGTGCTCACCAACGGCGCCGGAAGCATCAACAACTCCTACGCCGTCGGCGACATCATGTTCATCAAGGATCACATCAACCTGGTGAACTTCGGAGGCATGAACCCCCTTCAAGGGTACAACGACGAGAGCTTCGGCCAGAGGTTCGTCCCCATGAACGAAGTGTACGACCTCAATATTCTCAAGATAGCCAAAACCACCGCCAAAGAGCTCAGAATGAAGGGGATACAGGAGGGGGTGTACGCCTGCGTGGGAGGACCGAGCTTCGAGACGGTGGCAGAAGCGAAGGCGCTTAAAGTGTTGGGGGCCGATGTGGTGGGGACGTCGACGGTCCACGAAGTCATCGCGGCCAAACACTGCGGGCTCAAGTGCTTTGCTTTTAGTTTGATCACGACGAAGTGCCCCATGGACTATGGGGGGAAGAATACGATCATGCACGAGGATATTTTGGCGGTGGGGAAGAGCAGGGAGGCGGAAGTGCTCAGGTTTATGCAGAGGTTGTTTGCCAATTTGGCGCAACAGAATGCTGCGTAGATTTTGTGTATTTGGGAGAGATAATAAAATGATAACTGAAGAGTTTTTTACTGGTTCTAGATTTTTAACTTGAGATGTGCAGTTTTCGGACTAAAATCATAACTGACAACAAAACTTTTCATTTCTGGGGTCAACTGACGTGCATTTATATTCAAGATGTCAAAATCAGTGGTGGAAAATATACTGACCATTTCATATGCAAGCGACACCCGTAAATTATTAATTTTTTCGATTGACTGGTTGATTAGAGTAAGTTAATTTGTATAGGATAACACTTTTATCTTGTTATCTACATCAAATGTTGCCGTTATTTATTCGGTAGAATTCCTACTCAATCATCGATTATGTAAGCGATATTTCCTTGACTTTCCACTACTTTTTTATTTGATCTTGAACATACTTCAACGATTTTGTCTGTGTTTTGATAGTAAACACGTTCTACCGATCTGTGTACATTAAACACCCGTTTGATAAGATAATCGAAAGTACACCACAAAACACTTGTCAGATTTAAAGATATTATTCCCTCTCAGACCCCGTCCAACAACGAAAGCAAAATGTGTGACAATAACTCTTGCGTGGGTTGCAAAAATCCGTAAGTAAGTCAAAATCTCAACCAAACAAGACTCAATTTTTTTCCAGCTATACCTACGAAGACGTAGAAAAAATCGCCAACTTCCTGAGGTCAAAAGTGGACATTAAACCCCGCATAGGTCTAGTTTGTGGAACCGGTTTAGGTACTAACCCCTCAAACACACAAACAGTTTCCAAATTAAAATTTTAGGTGGCATTCCTGCACTGATGACCGACACTGTAACTTTCCCTTACGGAGAAATCCCCAATTTCCCCGTCAGCACAGTTGCCGGCCATGACGGCAAACTCATCATTGGCTACCTCTCAGGAACCCCGATCGTGTGCATGCAAGGACGCTTCCACTTCTTCGAAGGCTACCCCCTCTGGAAGGTCGTTCTCCCAATCCGCGTCATGAAGATCCTCGGAATTTCGATCTTAGTGCTCTCCAACGCAGCTGGAGGGATCAACAGTTCCTACTCCATCGGGGACATAATGTTCCTCAAGGACCACATCAATTTCGTGGCTCTTGGAGGCCACAACCCTCTCCAAGGGGACAACGAGGAAAAATTCGGTCCCAGGTTTGTGGCCATCAATGATTCGTACGACCGGGAGATTCTCAAGCTAGCCAAGAACACGGCGAAGGAGTTGGGGATGAAGGGGGTGCAAGAAGGGGTGTATTGTTGTATCGGGGGGCCGAGTTTTGAGACTGTGGCGGAATTGAGGGCTTTGAAGATGTTAGGGGGCGATGCAGTCGGGATGTCCACGGTCCACGAAGTGATAACGGCGATGCACTGCGGGATTAAATGTTTCGCGTTTAGTTTGATCACGAATAAGTGTCCCATGGAGTACGACGGGAAGAACACGCCGAACCATGAGGAGATTCTGGATGTGGGGAAGGAGAGGCAGGATGATGTGAGGAAGTTTGTGGAGAGGTTGTTTAAGAATTTGGCGCAGTTTAAAGTGAAATAGAATTTTGGTAACATTTTTTATATATTTCAATAAAATATCACATACCTATGATTACAATAACACTTTCTTGTTTAGAATAATAGTTATAAATCACTAGCAAGTAACACAACCAACCCCTCAACAAAAACCTTCAAATCCCTCTTCTTCTGCCCCGCCACCTCCAGCACCTCCTCCCCATCCGGCTTTTCCTTACACCCATACTCCACAACACACTCGTTCGTGATCAAACTGAACCCAAAACACTCCATTCCACAATGCCTCGCCGCAATAATCTCATGCACCGTCGACATCCCCACAGCATCCGCCCCTAGAATTTTCAAAGCCCTCACTTCGGCCACCGTCTCAAAATTAGGACCTCCGATGCACGCGTACACCCCCTCGTGGACCCCTTTCAACCCCAATTTTTCAACTAGAGCCCTAGCTTTTTCGATTATCTTGGGGTTGTAGCCTTCGTTCAGAGCCACAAATCGGGGACCGAATCTTTCGTCGTTGGGGCCTCGGAGGGGGTTGTTGCCGGCGAGGCCCAACATGTTGATGTGGTCTTTTATGAACATGATGTCGCCGGTTTTGTAGGAGGAGTTGATGCTGCCGGCGGCGTTGGAGACGATGAGGGTGGTGACTCCTAGGAGTTTCATGAGGCGGGCGGGCATGGCGCAGGTGGAGAGGGAGTTGCCTTCGTAGAAGTGGAACCGGCCTTGGAAGCAGATGACGGGGGTGGCGGCGATGTGGCCGAAGAGGAGGCGGCCGGGGTGACCGATGACGGTGCTGACGGGGAAGTGGGGGATTTCGGTGTAGTTGAGGGTGGTGGGGGTGGTGAGGAGTTCACCAACGGAGCCTGAAAATGGGTTGTTGTTACTGTGTAGTTGTCATAAATAACGACAACAACAAAAAACTAATCGATATTTGGAATAAAAATTTAAAAATGACCAAGGCACAAAATTTGGCAAAAGTCGTTCATTAGTAGCTCACTGCAATATCAGTATTGAGCTTAATTTCGAAATATTCAAATTTCAGACACAAAAATTGTAAAATGGAACTACAAAATTGAAATACAGCTGTACAATCCTATTTAAGATTAAGAAAAAAAATACGATAGTTTTAAAAGGTAAATAAGGAAACCATAATTAAGCGATTAAAAGAAATTTTCCAAAATTTGTGTAGGTGTACGCATAAAACAATAAAATTTGTAAAATAATATGTTGATTTACCTTCTGAAAAAAAAAGACAGTTGGGAGCTCAGAGAAGATTTAATATTCTTAAAAAAAGACACTTGGGGCACCCGAGAAGGTTTGACATTAAAAAAAAGACATCTGGTGCCCTCGAGAAGGTTTTACATGTTTAAAAAGACAGTTGGGGCTCCTGAGAAGGTTTCTCATTCTTAAAAAAATGACATTTTGGGCCCCCGAGAAGGTTTTATATTTTTAAAGAAGACAGTTGGGACCTCCGAAAAGGTTTCATATTAAAAAAAAGACATATGGCGCCCTCGAGAAGGTTTCACATTTTTAAAAAGACAGTTGAGGCTCCTGAGAAGGTTTCACATTATTAAAAAAATGACATTTTGGGCTCCCCGAGAAGGTTTCACATTAAAAAAAGACATGTGGCGCCCTCGAGAAGGTTTTATATTAAAAAAAAAGTGACATTTTTGGTCCCCGAGAAGGTTTTATATCTTTAAAGAAGGCAGTTGGGACCTCCGAGAAGGTTTCACATTAAAAAAAAGACATTCGGTGACCTCGAGAAGGTTTTACATTTTTTAAAAGACAGTTGGGGCTCCTGCGAAGGTTTCACATTCTTAAAAAAATGACATTTTGGGCCCCTGAAAAGGCTGCACATTAAAAAAAAAGACATTTGGCGCACTCGAGAAGGTTTTACATTTTTAAAAAAACAGTTGGGGCTCCTGAGAAGGTTTCGCATTCTTAAAAAAATGACATTTTGCGCCCCCGAGAAGGTTTTACTTAAAAAAAAAAGACAATTTGGTGCCCTCGAGAAGGTTTTACATTTTTAAGAAGACAGTTGGGGCTCCTGAGAAGGTTTCACATTCTTAAAAAAAAGACATTTGGCGCTCTCGAGAAGGTATTACATTTTTAAAACGACGTTTGGGGCTCCCGGGAAGATTTCATATTCTTAAAAAAAAGTGACATTTTGGGCCCCCGAGAAGGTTTTATATTTTTAGAGAAGACAGTTGGGACCTCCGAGATGGTTTCACATTAAAAAAAGACATTTGGCGCCCTCGAGAAGGTTTTACATTTTTAAAAAGACAGTTGGGTCTCCCGAGAAGGTTTCACATTCTTAAAAAAAATTACATTTTGGGTCCCCGATAAGGTTTTATATTTTTAGAGAAGACAGTTGGGACCCCCGAGAAGGTTTCACATTAAAAAAAAATATATTTGGCCTCGAGAAAGCTTTACATTTTTAAAAAGACCTTTGGGCCTCCCGAGAAGGTTTCAATTTCTTAAAAAAATGACATTTTGGACCCCCGAGAAGGTTTCACATTAAAAAAAAAGACTTTTGGCGCCGCCGAGGTTTTATATGCTTAAAAAGACGGTTGGGCCTCCGGAGAAGGCTTCAAATTTTTAAAAAAAATTACGTTTTGGGTCCCCGAGAAGGTTTTATACTTTTAAAGAAGACAGTTGGGACCCTCGAGAAGGTTTCACATTAAAAAAAAGACATTTGGCGCACTCGAGAAGGTTTTACATTTTTAAAAAGACAGTTGGGGCTACCGAGGTTTCAAATTCTTAAAAAAATAACATTTCGGGCCCCCGAGAAGGTTTTATATTTTCAAAGAAGGCAGTTGGGACCTCCCGAAAAGGTTTCACATTAAAAATAAAGACAATTGGTGATCTAGAGAAGGTTTTACATTTTTTAAAAGACAGTTGGGGCTCCTGAGAAGGTTTCACATTCTAAAACAAACTGACATTTTGGGCCCCCGAGAAGGTTTCACATTAAAAAAAAAGACTTTTGGCGCCCCCGAGGTTTTATATTTTTAAAAAGACGGTTGGGCCTCCGGAGAAGGTTTCAAATTCTTAAAAAAAATACGTTTTGGGTCCCCGAGAAGGTTTTATACTTTTAAAGAAGACAGTTGGGACCCCCGAGAAAGTTTCACATTAAAAAAAAGACATTTGGCGCACTCGAGAAGGTTTTACATTTTTAAAAAGACAGTTGGGGCTACCGAGAAGGTTTCAAATTCTTAAAAAAAATGACATTTTGGGCCCCCGAGAAAGTCTCACATTAAAAAAAAGACCTTTGCCGCTCTCGAGAAGGTATTACATTTTTAAAAAGACGGTTGGGGCTCCCGGGAAGATTTCATATTCATAAAAAAAAGTGACATTTTGGGTCCCCGAGAAGGTTTCATATTTTAAAGAAAACAGTTGGGACCCCCGAGAAGGTTTGACATTAAAAAAAAAGATATTTGGCGCCCTCGAGAAAGTTTTACATTTTTAAAAAGACAGTTGGGCCTCCGGAGAAGGTTTCAAATTCTTAAAAAAATTACATTTTGGGTCCCCCAGAAGGTTTTATATTTTTAAAGAAGACAGCTGGGACCCCGGAGAAGGTTTCACATTAAAAAAAAAAGACATTTGGCGCCCTCGAGAAAGTTTTACATTTTTAAAAAGACAGTGGGCCTCCCGAGAAGTCTTCAAATTCTTAAAAAAATTATATTTTGGGTCCCCCAGAAGGTTTTATATTTTTAAAGAAGACAGCTGGGACCCCGGAGAAGGTTTCACATTAAAAAAAAAAGACATATGGCGCCCTCGAGAAAGTTTTACATTTTTAAAAAGACAGTGGGCCTCCCGAGAAGTCTTCAAATTCTTAAAAAAAATACATTTTGGGCCCCCGAGAAGGTTTTATAATTTTAAAGAATACAGTTGGGACCTCCGAAAAGGTTTCACATTAAAAAAAAGACATTTGATGACCTAGAGAAAGTTTTACATTTTTTAAAAGACAGTTGGGGCTCCTGAGAAGGTTTCACATTCTAAAACAAAATGACATTTTGGGCCCCCGAGAAGGTTTCACATTAAAAAAAAAGACTTTTGGCGCCCCCGAGCTTTTATATTTTTAAAAAGACGGTTGGGCCTCCGGAAAAGGTTTCAAATTCTTAAAAAAAATTACATTTTGGGTCCCCGAGAAGGTTTTATACTTTTAAAGAAGACAGTTGGGACCCCCGAGAAGGTTTCACATTAAAAAAAAAGACATTTGGCGCACTCGAGAAGGTTTTACATTTTTAAAAAGACAGTTGGGGCTACCGAGAAGGTTTCAAATTCTTAAAAAAAATGACATTTTGGGCCCCCGAGAACGATTTACATTTTTAAAAAGACGATTGGGGCTCCCGGGAAGATTTCATATTCATAAAAAAAGTGACACTTTGGGTCCCCGAGAAGGTTTTATATTTTTAAAGAAGACAGTTGGGACCCCCGAGAAGGTTTGACATTAAAAAAAATATATTTGGCGCCCTCGAGAATGTTTTACATTTTTAAAAAGACAGTTGGGCCTCCGGAGAAGGTTTCAAATTCTTAAAAAAAATACATTTTGGGTCCCCGAGAAAGTTTTATATTTTTAAAGAAGATAGTTGGGACCCCCGAGAAGGTTTCACATTAAAAAAACAAGACATTTGGCGCCCTCGAGAAAGTTTTACATTTTTAAAAAGACAGTTGGGCCTCCCGAGAAGGTTTCAAATTCTTAAAAAAAATTACATTTTGATCCTCCGAGAAGGTTTTATATTTTTAAAGAAGACAGTTGGGACCCCCGAAAAGGTTTCACATTAAAAAAAAAGACATTTGGCGCCCTAGAGAAGGTTTTACATTTTTAAAAAGACAGTTGGGGCTACCGAGAAGGTTTCAAATTCTTAAAAAAAATGACATTTTGGGCCCCCGAGAACGATTTACATTTTTAAAAAGACGATTGGGGCTCCCGGGAAGATTTCATATTCATAAAAAAAGTGACACTTTGGGTCCCCGAGAAGGTTTTATATTTTTAAAGAAGACAGTTGGGACCCCCGAGAAGGTTTGACATTAAAAAAAATATATTTGGCGCCCTCGAGAATGTTTTACATTTTTAAAAAGACAGTTGGGCCTCCGGAGAAGGTTTCAAATTCTTAAAAAAAATACATTTTGGGTCCCCGAGAAAGTTTTATATTTTTAAAGAAGATAGTTGGGACCCCCGAGAAGGTTTCACATTAAAAAAACAAGACATTTGGCGCCCTCGAGAAAGTTTTACATTTTTAAAAAGACAGTTGGGCCTCCCGAGAAGGTTTCAAATTCTTAAAAAAAATTACATTTTGATCCTCCGAGAAGGTTTTATATTTTTAAAGAAGACAGTTGGGACCCCCGAAAAGGTTTCACATTAAAAAAAAAGACATTTGGCGCCCTAGAGAAGGTTTTACATTTTTAAAAAGACAGTTGGTACCCCGGAGAAGGTTTCACATTAAAAAAAAGACATTTGGCGTCCTCCAGAAGGTTTTACATTTTTAAAAAATACAATTGGTACTCTGGAAAATATTTAATATTCTTAAAAAAAGAGGGTTGGGGCCCCCGAAAAGGTTTCGCTTTCTTTAAAAAAGGACAGTTGGTATCCCCAAGAAGATTTCACATTCTTAAAAAAATTACATTTTGGGCCCCCGAGAAGGTTTTACATTTTTAAAAAAACAATTGGTACCATGGAGAAGATTTAATATTCTTAAAAAAGACACTTGGGGACCCGAGACGGTTTCGCCTTCTTTTAAAAAGGACAGTTGGTACCCCCAAGAAGATGTCACAGTTGCCATCCTCCAGAAGGTTTTACATTTTTAAAAAAGACAAGTGATACCCTGGAGAATATTTAATATTCTTAAAAAAAGACAGTTGGGCCCCGAGAAGGTTTCACATTCTTAAAAAAATGACATTTGGGGCCCACGAGATGGTTTCTTATTCTTAAGAAAAGACAGTTGGGACCCCCGAGAAGATTTCACAATAAAAAAAGACGAAATTAAGCATTCGTTAGTACAAAAAAAAAATGTACATGTACTTGTAAAAATATATATATATATATACATAATATACTCACTTAAACCCGACCCGCATATAATCCCAATTTGGGGTTTAACCGTCACCAGTTTCCTCAAATAATAATTAGCAATTTTTTCGATTATTTCATACGTGTATCTAAAAACGCCCATTGAATGAAATATTTTCAACGGTAGAAATCTTACTCTTGTTGAGCCATTTCTTACACACTGTAACCCGTCAGTGGATTTAGGTCGCTTATGATGGACTTTTATGCAATACTGTGGTAGTGGCAAGTAGATAAGAATCGGAGTTGACGTCATTTCAGTTCCATGTTAAGTACGAGTAAATGCATTTCCGATTTACTCAGCGCATACATCCGTTCTTGTCTAACAGACGGTAGAACACCTTTGAGGACATAGGTATTTCCAATCAAAAAATTACGATAGAGTAAGACTACGAGACATTGTGCAAGAATTACACTTTGTTTGATTTACGAAAATACTGAAGTATGTTAGACACTATATACCAACAACTATCATAAACGAGAATTTAAACCTGGAAAAAACAAAAAATTAGAGCAGAACCAAGTATAGTTCTATTATCAAACCGTTTTTTAACCAATTCCACTTTATCGTAGTTTATCGTATTTTGGTGAAGGTAATAGCCATTACTTCACAAAAAATTCGTTAGCTAGACACCGATAATAATAACGAGGAATAAATTTTCATGCTTCTACTATATACGTATTGTTACGAAAGAAACCCATATGCCGCCCCGGTACGACGCCTATGGTTCCTAATATGTACGGCGATGATGATTTATCATCATTTATTATCATTTACCAGAAGTCTCGATTGCGGTGTCCAGGAAAATCTCGAAGCGGCGTTCGCGATCCATCTAGAGGTATATTTACCGAAAAAAGTTCTAAAAATATTATTATTAGATGTTTCACGTTTAGTTTGATCATGAATAAGTGTCCATGGAGTACGATGGGAAGTATACGTCGAACCATGATGACAATCTGGAGGTGTAGAAGGATAGTTTTGCTAACATTTTTATAATTTAAATAATAATAATATAATAAATTTATACATTTCAATAAAATATCACATACCTATGATTACAAAAATTCTTTTTTTTAATATAATACTGATAAATCACTGGCAAGTAGCCTCTCAACTCCTAAGTACTCTTTCCAACTTCTGCCAAGACCCCAACCAACCCCTCCACAAAAACCTTCAAATCCCTCTTCTTTTGCCCCGCCACCTCCAGCACCTCTTCCCCGTCCGGCTTCTCCTTAGACCCATACTCCACAACACACTCATTCGTGATCAAACTGAACCCAAAACACTCCATTCCACAATGCCTCGCCGCAATAATCTCATGCACCGTCGACATCCCCACAGCATCCGCCCCCAGAATTTTCAAAGCCCTCACTTCGGCCACCGTCTCAAAATTAGGACCTCCGACGCAAACGTACACCCCCTCGTGGACTCCTTTCATCCCCAATTTTTCAGCTAGAGCTTTAGCTTTGTCGATCATCTTGGGATTGTAGCCTTCGTTCAGAGCCACAAATCGGGGACCGAATCTTTCGTCGTTGGGGCCTCGGAGGGGGTTGTTGCCGGCGAAGCCGGTCAAGTTAATGTGGTCTTTTATGAACATGATGTCGCCGGTTTTGTAGGAGGGGTTGATGCCGCCGGCGGCATTGGAGACGATGAGGGTGGTGACTCCGAGGAGTTTCATGAGGCGGACGGGCATGGCGCAGGTGGAAAGGGAGTTGCCTTCGTAGAAGTGGAAGCGGCCTTGCATGCATATGACGGGGATGGCGGCGATGTGGCCGAAGAGGAGGCGGCCGGGGTGGCCGATGACAGTGCTGACGGGGAAGTTGGGGATTTCGGTGTAGTTGAGGGTGGTGGGGGCGGTGAGGAGTTCACCGACCGAACCTGAAAATGGGGTGTAGTTATTTTGTTCCAAAAATAGCTATAAAAGACAACAAAAAAACTAACTAACTATAAGTAAAATTTTCTCCTTTTATCCAGAGTAATTAAGAAAAAAAAAAAATGAGAAAAAACAAGTAATATTATTTGAATGTTTATTCTTTGGTTTGTTTATACGAAAGTTTTAGTTCATACTGGTAAAAAAATCTGACATTTGGATTAAACAAAAATTCTACGATTACTCATCAAATGAACAAAATCAAAATTGTAAAAATTTAAGATTTCTCATGTTTGACTGATTGAAGAAGACTTTATCAAAATTTTGTAATTTTTAAATTAAGCATGATCTTTGGAGTTTTTGAAATATTAAAATTTGTCACTACATTCATAGTGACAAATGAAAAATTTCAGAACATACCGCAAAATAAAAATCAATTCAACGGCCACTTACTGAACGAACAAAAATTCAGAATTTCTTATTTTGTGAAATCTTTATTAAAAAAAGGGACAACAAAATCACAAAAAAACCGCAAAATGCAACAAAAAGTCGACAAAAAAACGACAAACACGACAAATCAACGACAAAAAGGAAACTAAAAAAACAATAAAAAAGTCATAAAAATGCAACAAAAAAAGGACGAAAAGGAAGGAAAGAACGATGAGAAATTAACAAAAAAAAAAATAATAATTAAAAAAAGAGCCAAAAAACGACAAAAAAGACAACAAAAAACTGGAAAAAAATTACAAAACCGAAAAAAGTTGGTTTTATCAGGTTATATAGAAATTTCTTCGCCTCTGAGAACCACAATCGAACAAATCAAGCTTTTCGGGTAAATTATACAATTTGATTTTGCTTTTTTATTTTTTCTTTTGATAAACCCTATTATAAAGACGAAAAAAATAGTGGAAAAAACATCAAACAGGGAACAGAAAAGCTGCAAAAATACAACAAGAAAAAGCAGTAAAAAAGTCAACAAAAAAACCACAATAATAACAAAAAAGCGACAGAAATAGAAACAAAAGAAGTACACTAAAAAAAAACAACACAAACAGAGTGCCAAAAAAGTCGTCAGAAACCAAAATAAAAAGTAAAAAAAAAAACAACAATGAAGCCACAAAACCCAACAAAAAAGTTACAAAAAAAAAGACAACAAAAAACACCAAACAAAAACTACAAAAAGCGATAAAAAAATAAATGGTCTCATTCTTTCGTCTCTGAATAATAAAATAAAACCAGTTTTTCAGAAAATTATAAAATCTGATTTTGCGAAATTTTTATTCAAAAAAGGAACAACAAAATCGCAAAAAAGATCGCAAAAATGAAACAAAAAAGTCGACAAAAAAACAACAAACATGACAAATCAACGCCAAAAAGAACGATTTTTAATTTTTGCAATTTTTCGTTTAAATTTTTCGATTTTTTACCTTTCAATTTTTTCAGTTTTGGGGGGTTCTTCAATGTTTAAGAATTCAAATTGTCCGATTCTTCTGTTCGATTTTTAGTTTTTTCAATTTTTCGATATTTCGAAATTTTATCTTGGGATTTTTCAATTTTTGAATTTTCCGACATTAAAAATTTAAAAATTTAATTTCTCTAAATGTCAGATTTTTTTCTCCATTCTTGGATTTTTTAGTTTCTGAATTTTTCTACTTGTCAATCCTCCGAATTTTCGAAAAATTTTTTTTCGGGGTTTTACAATTTTTTAGTTACCTATTCGATTTTTCTATTTTTGGCAATGTCCCGAATTTTTTAAAATTTTAAATTTTTTGATGTTTCGATTTCTTGATCTTCCGAATTTTCGACTTCTCAGTCTTAAATTTTTGTTTTTTTTTGTATATATTTTTAAATTTTAAGAATTTGTGGAGACTTCGATGTTCAGATTTTTTTAATTCTTCAATTTCCCGATTTTTCAATTTTTTATTATTCAATTTACTGATCTTTTTAAGTTTGCCAAATTTTTAATTTTTAAATTTTCGATTTGCTGCTATTTTAATTTTTAGATTTCCCAATTTTTGAGATTTTGGTTTGGAATTTTTCTCGATTTTCGGTTTTTCGATTCTTCAATTTTAGGTATTCATCAATTTCTGGTTATCCAATTTTTCGTTATTTTAATTGCTGGATTTTTAAATTCCCCAATTTTTCAATTTCTGGATTTATGGCGATTTCGATGTTTGGATTTTTTGATTGTACAATTTCCCGAGTTTTCGATTTTTCAATTTTTTATTTTTCGGTTTATTGATTTTTAAAATTTTCCAAATTTTCGATTTGCTGCTCTTTTGATTTCTCAATTTTTCGAGATTCCAGCTTGGGATTTTTCGATTTTCAGTTTTTCGATTCTTCAATTTTAACGATTTTTTGATGTTTCAATTTAATTTTTAATACTTAAATTTTTCGATGTATCGATTTTTAATATTTTTCAATTTTATGAATATATCAAATTACTGGTTTTCCAATTTATCGATATTTTAATTGTTCGATTTTTTTATTTTTCGATTTTTCGATTTCTGGATTTATAGACTTCAATGTTTAGATTTTTCGATTGTTACTTTTTTCGATTTTTCAATTTTGGGCTAATTTTTCTATTTTTCAATTTTTTGTTTTTTTGATTTTTCGTTTTGCTACTTATCGATTTTTAAATGTGGGGGGTTGTTCAATGTTTAAGAATTCAAATTGTTCGATTCTTCTGTTCGATTTTTAATTTTTTCAATTTTTGACCTTTCCGATTTTTCAATTTTTCGATATTTCGAAATTTTATCTTGGGAGTTTTCTATTTTTGAATTTTTCGACGTATTAAATATTTAATTTCCCTAAATATAAGATTTTTTGATTTCTCCATTTTTGGATTTTTTAGTTTCTCTATTTTTCTACTTGTCAATCCTACGAATTTTTAAATTTTCCCATTTTCCGATTTTTCTATTTTTAAAATTTTCGAAAATTTAATTTTCCTTTCGCTAAATTTTAGATTTTTTTGATTTCGCGGTTTTTCAGTTTTTTAGTTACCTATTCGATTTTTCTATTTTTGGCAATATCCCGAATTTTTAAAAATTTTAAATTTTTTGATGTTTCGATTTCTGGATCTTCCGAATTTTCAACTTCTCAGTTTTAAATTTTTGTTTTTTTTTTGTATATATTTTTGAATTTTATGAATTTTCGATTTCTGGATTTATGGAGACTTCGATCTTTAGATTTTTTTAATTCTTCAATTTTCCGATTTTTCAATTTTTTTTATTATTCAATTCACTGATCTTTTTAAGTTTTCCAAATTTTTAATTTTTAAATTTTCGATTTGCTGCTATTTTGAATTTTCAATTTTTAGATTTCCCAATTTTTTGAGATTCCGGTTTGGGATTTTTTGATTTCTCGATTTTCAGTTTTTCGATTCTTCAATTTTAACGATTTTTTGATCTTTCAATTTAATTTTTAATACTTCAATTTTTCGATTTATCGATTTTTAATATTTTTCAATTTTATGAATACATATATTATCAAATTTCTGGTTTTCCAATTTTTTGATATTTTAATCGAAGATTTTTTTATTTTTCGATTATTACTTTTTTCGATTTTTCAATTTTGGGCTAATTTTTCGTTTTCCTACTTATCGATTTTTTAAAATTTTTCAATTTTTAGATTTCTGGATTTATTGAGACCTCAATGTTTGGGTTTTCGGTTTTGAGCTGTTTCAACTGCCCGATTTTTCGCTTTTCCAATATTTGAATTTTTCGAACAATAAATGAAATCTAGTTTTTCAAATAAATTATGAATTTTGATTATGTGACAACAAAACAGCAGCAAAAAAAAATAATGGTCTCTTTAGGTTATTAGACAGAATTTCTTTCGTCTCTGAATAATAAAGTAAAACAAGTTTTTTAGAAAATTAAAAAATCTGATTTTGCGAAATTTTTATTCAAAAAAGGAACAACAAAATCACAAAAAAGACCGCAAAAATGAAACAAAAAAGTCGACAAAAAAACGACAAACATGATAAATCAACGACAAAAAGAACGATTTTTAATTTTTGCAATTTTTCGATTTTTTACCTTTCCATTTTTTCAGTTTGAGGGAATTGTTCAACGTTTAAGAATACAAATTGTCCGATTCTTCTGTTCGATTTTTAGTTGTTTTCAATGTTTGACCTTTCCGATTTTTCAATTTTTGAATTTTTCGACACATTAAAAATTTAATTTCTATGAATATCAGAGTTTTTGATTTCTCCATTATTGGATTTTATAGTTTTTCTATTTTTCTACTTGTCAATCCTCCGAATTTTTAAATTTTACATTTTTCAACTTTTTACCTTTCTGATTTTTCAATTTTCCCATTTTCCGATTTTTCAATTTTTAAAATTTTCGAAAATTTAATTTTTCTTTCGCTAAATTTTAGATTTTTTTGATTTCGCGGTTTTTCAATTTTTTAGTTACCTATTCGATTTTTATATTTTTGGCAATATCCCGATTTTTTAAAAATTTTAAATTTTTTGATGTTTCGATTTCTGGATCTTCCGAATTTTCGACTTCTCAGTTTTAAATATTTGTTTTTATTTTGTATATATTTTTAAATTTTATGAATTTTCGATTTTTAAATTTTTGGTCTTTACATTTTTCGATGTTGTAATTTCCCAATTTTTCGATTTCTGGATTTATGGAGACTTCGATGTTTGTATTTTTTGATTGTACAATTTCCAGAGTTTTCGATTTTTCAATTGCTTATGTTTCGGTTTATTGGTTTTTTAAAATTTTCCAAATTTTCCATTTGTTGCTATTTTGATGTCTCAATTTTTAGATTTCCCAATTTTTCGAGATTCCAGTTTGGGATTTTTCGATTTCTCGATTTTCAGTTTTTCGATTCTTCAATTTTAACGATTTTTTTGACGTTTCAATTTAATTTTTAATACATACTTCAATTTTTCGATATATCGATTTTTAATATTTTTCAATTTTATGAATATATCAAATTTCTGGTTTTCCAATTTTTCGATATTTTAATTATTCGATTTTCTTATTTTTCGATTTGTCGATTTCTGGATTTATAGAGACTTCAATGTTAAGATTTTTCAATTGCTACTTTTTTCGATTTTTCAATTTTGGGCTAATTTTTCGATTTTCCAATTTTTTGGTTTTTTGATTTTTCGTTTTGCTACTTATCGATTTTTAAAAATTTTTCAATTTTTAGATTTCTGGATTTATTGAGACCTCAATGTTTCGATTTTCGATTTTGAGCTGTTTCAACTGCCCGATTTTTCGATTTTCCAATATTTGAATTTTTCGAATAATAAATGAAATCCAAAGACGACAAACATGACAAATTAACGACAAAAAGACAACTAAAAACAACCAAAAAGGACACAAAAATGCAATGAAAAAGTGACGAAAAGGAATATACAAAAAGCGCCAAACAAAGATGAAAAGTTGACAAAAAATTGGAAAATCAGGATATTAAGCAGAAATCCTTTAGCTTCTGAAGAACAATAAAATAAATCTAGTTTTTCAAATAAATTATAAAATTTGATTTTGTAAATCAAAAAAAAAAACGACAAAAGCAACAAAAAACGTCAAAAAATGGCACAAAATTACAACAAAAAAGCGACAAAAATGACAAAAAAAATCACTTAGAAAAGCAATAAAGAAGCAACAAAAACCAACGAAAAAAAAGAGAACTAAAACATAGCTTGATAATTTTAGTAACGCTATGATTACGAACAAGATATTGAAAATTGAATATTAATATTGTAGTTATTTATAAGATATAATTAATTATTATGCAAATACTATTTATAAACAATAGTAGCTGTGTTGCTATGTTGTTGTATCCACTACAGATATGATTATCTGCTGGAAATAAATTCACTTATCTATTATTATTTATTTGTATTCGTCAAAAACCGACATAAAAAGCAACAACAAAAGACCAGAAAAGACAACAAAAAGCTGCAAAAAAACGACAAAAACAGCAAAAAGGCGATAAAAAATAAATTGTCTCATTAGGTTATTTTAAAAATTATTTCAGTTGTCCTTTTTGACTTTTAATGTCGATTAAAAACAAAAAAAAAAAAAAACTAAATAAAATATGTAAAATAACAAGTTGTTTTAGCATTACCCGAAGTGCACCAGAAACTCGAAACTGGTATAATTCAACCACAACAATGTAATCTTAACTGACATTAAAAATTTCTAAAATTTATGATTCTTGACGCAAAACGTGTTTTTACACGAATAAAAAAAATAATGTCAAGGTTAATTATTGAAGATAAGATCATCCAGTACTGATAGAGTACATATAAAAGAGAGTACTGAGGCTTTGTCAATACTTGGGAAATCTGCATGAAAAGAGCGATCCACGGCCTTGGACATATGAGAAAATCTCGGGAAAACTAATCTCACTTTTCTCCTGTCTTAGTGAAACCCATTGTATGTTGATTTACAAACAATCAGTTGGTAAAACGAATGAAACGATTAATTATGTAAAAACAACGTTCGGGTTACTCGAGTAGAAACATTTTGAGCATCGATCTCGAATACAAAAAAAATCACTTTGTAGTCAAAATTAAAAAGAAAAAAAAATTATATAGGTACTCACTTAAACCTGACCCACATATAATCCCAATTTGCGGTTTAATCGTCACCAGTTTCCTCAAATAATCAGCAATTTCTTCGATTTCTTCATACTTGTACCTAAAAATACCCACTGAATAAACCATTTTCGAGCGTAAAAATCTTACTCTTGTCGATCCATTTGTTGCACACTGCACCCAGTCAATGGGTTCACGTCACGCATGAAGGTTTTTTCTGCAATATTGTGGTGGTGGAAAATACCAGCAATGACCAGGGTTCTGGTCATCGAGCGATTTTATAGCTTTCCAGAGCTGTTATCATTATCAATTATAATTAAAAACCGTTGGCACGTAAAGCTTTAATAATTGTATCATTTTTCCGAGAAGCTACGTGACGCGAAATTTTAATTCCAGTATCTGGGAGGGGAATCCCTTGTAATCATAAAGCAACTAACTCTTTCCTCAAGTTGCATCACTTAATTCCAAAGAACGTTTTATTAGGTGAGTGGGAAAAGTGTAATCTTTAATGAATTCAAACAACACCAATAAGTTTCCTCAGTCTCAGTGGAAGACAAATCTTACGCAAGCGTCGATCCTATTGTATCCGATTGTTCTCAAAATAATAGTGAGAATAATCTCTTACACTTGCTACATCAATCTTTTCCATGGTGATTTTCATAATCATGAATTGGTATTAATTCAAGTACTCGTATCTTCACAAGGAATTTTCTCGCTAGTACGACAAGATAAACACCATGTTGCAATTTTCTACAAAATGTATTTAAATAAATGCTTTGCGTAGGTACAAAAATCGATACTGGCATTCTAGTACTAACAGATATGTACAAACTTAAATACTGTCTACAATAAATAGTACAAAATTACGCTAATTTGTATCTGGTAATCTTAACACAAGCCTAGTTCGTGCCTAAGGAGCTCCGTATTCATATCCAGGTCTTCCTTTGTTTCCGAAATTCCCGGCGTACGAGTCGTACCCGCTCCCGGAGCCCGAGTTGTACCCGTTCCCGGACCCACTCGAGTAATCCTTGATGGACACGGAACTCGTACCATACCCATTGTTATTGGAGTAATTGGGTGCCCCGTACTGCCCATTATTTCCGCCGTTGTAAGTGTTGTACTGCTCTGGGTACTGGGCGGTACCTTCGTATCTCACGTCGGCGTGGAATCCGGTTTGCCAGTCGGCGTAATAAGTGACTATTTGGGTACGACCGTCGGGTAATTGCACGCGGTACTCGCCTCGGACCTGGTTCCCGTCGCTCGACTCCTTTCTGTTGTAGTTGTTTCCGGTGTAGTCGTCTTTGACTTGGTAGCCAAATTCGTAGGATTTAGGCTGAAATAAATTTAAAAAATGTTGTTGATTTGTTTCTAACAACTTCAGGTAAAAAAATAAAATCATCCCATTAGCGTCAAAACGTTTCGTTTCCGCACTCTCGCGGTTGACTTTTCGAGTTGGTTTTAAGTTGGCATGCTTGAGTGATCTCGGCGAAATAAGGATCGATTTAAATGTCTGTCGAGATCGTGAAACGCTGTTGGAATGCTCTGTTTATCTTCGGTTGTTAATTTGGTTGTTTATGGGTAACGTGTGTTCGCTACATTTTTCGTTCTTTGTTAGCTCGTGACTGGACTTATGAAATTTGCTGGGTCACGACTTCAATAATTCGGATAATTAGAGAATAAATGGGTCAGATGGTTGTAAAAGTAGATAAAAGGGTGGATGACGTGGAAACTTGGGGTTTTGTTTAACAATCAAACGAATCATTGAAGCTTTAAAAGGTTGGACGAAAAGGATGTTACACCATCAACACAATGTTAGGAGTTTTATTTGCTATCGCGGAATAAATTACGCGGAACTGATGATTCCGCATGTTTAATTTGAGCGAAACCTATAATTTCGATGATTTAATTTAATTATGCAAGAAGGTTGGTTGGTTCGGGCCATTCTTACTTATCGTAATCTAATCTTGAAGGTAATACTTAGTGAACATAATAGTTTTAAATAAACCTAGGATTACGTTTTTATTTACAAAGATTAAAATCTAAAAATCATTTTAGACGACTTTAAAAAAAAAAAATATAGTTCGTTTCGCGGCGGTGTTGTCAGTTATCAAAAATCTATCGATTTCTGAAGAAGTTCTGTTCTGCTTCGATTCGTGTTAAAATTTGATTTTCGTATATTAAAATTTCATAGTATAAGAATTTCACTAACAATAGGATGACATCATCTCCAAAATATTGTTTAAATTTTATAAAACAAGGAAAACAAACTTTGTTTAACAATATTCTACAATTTAACTTTGAAACTGCAAAATCGAATGCTCTGAAATCTTGTTTTAAGGTTGTCGTAAGTATAGTAAAAAATGTTTACGTTAAATTATATATTGCTGTATATGTGATTCATGAATCCGTGTTGAGTTTTTACCCCAGACGTCAAGATTTTTCGGAAAAAAAATTGATATTGTATAACATTTTACAATTTAACTTTGAAATTGCAAAATCTAGTGCTCTTAAATCACGAAGGCCTTAAGGTTATGAGAAGAATTTTTCGATTTTCGATTTTTCGAACATTTGATTCATCGAATTTTAGATTTTCGAAATTGAGATCACTCCATTGTCGATTTCTTGAGTTTCTTTTCTATTTTTGGAATTCCCGATTTTTGGTTTTTTGATTTTTGATTTATCGATTTTTTTATTTTCAATTCATAAAGTTTCAATTCAATTTAATTTTTCGAAATTCAAATGTTCCATTTTTTTACTGTTCGCTTTTTCAGTTGTTCGACTATCCGTTTTTTCGTTTTTTACAATTTTCGATTTTTCGATTTTCGAACTTTCAATTTTTTTAATTTTGATCTCTTGATGTTTTCGATGTTATGACTTTTGATATTTCATTTTTTCTACATTTCAATTCTTGGGTGTATCGATTTTTTAAAATCTCGTTTGTCAAATGTTTGATTTTTCGATTTTTATTTTTTTGAATTTTCGATTTTTGGAATCTTTGATTCACCGAATTTTCGCTTTTTCTATACTGGAATTTTCAATTAGTTTCTTTTTCGATTTCTCGATTCTTCCATTTTTCATTTTCGAATTTTTCATTTTTCAATATTTAGGCTCTTTAAGTTTTTCTTTTCGATTTGTCGATATTCGAATTTTCAATTTTTTTAAATTCGATTTCTTAATGTTTGAATTTTTCCATTTTTCGACTTCGATTTTTGGTTTTACAATTTTCGATTTTACGACTTTCGATGTTTCGTTTTTTCTACATTTCGATTCTTGCGTTTTTCGATTTTTCGAAATCTCGTTTGTTAAATGTTCGATTTTTCGAATTCTGGATCTTTGAGTTTTCGATTTTTCAATTTTTTACTTATTCCGCGAGTTTTCGACTTTCGATGCTCAAATTTTTAATCTTTCTACTTTTCGTTTTTTCGATATTTATTTTTTTGAATTTTGATTTTTCAATTCTTACGTTCTTCAGTTATTAGACTTTCAATTTTTTTTACTTTTCGGTTTCTCGAATTTTCAATTTTTCCATTCTTCAGTTTTTCAATTTTATAATGTTTTACTACTTGCTTTTTCATTTCTCGATTTTTCAAACTTTCCGATTTTTAAAATTTTCCATTTTTTGATTATTGATTTTTCGAATTTTCCATTCTACAGTAGATATTTAGACTTTTAATATTTTAATTTTCGATTTTTGGATATTCAAATTTTCAATTTTTTTAATTTCGATTTCTCGATTTTATAATTTTCCATTTTTGGACTTTCGACGTCTTGTTTGTCAAATGTTTGATTTTTCGGCTTTTAGATTTTTAATTTTTTAAATTTTAGGTTTTTCGCATATTTTATTCACCGAATTTTCGATTTTTCAATTTTCCATTCTTCAGTATTTAGACCTTTTAATTTTTACTTTTCGATTTTTCGATCTTTGAATTTTCAATTTTATATTTTGATTTCTCGATTTTTCAATTTCTCCACTTTTCGACTTATTCTGAATTTTTTACTTCATATTTGCATTTTCATTTCTTGATTTTTCCACTTTTCTGTTTAGAATTTTCGTTATTTCTGTTTAGAATTTTCGTTATTTCAGTTTTTAATTTTTGAAATATTTGACTCATTAATTTTTGATTTTTTGAGTTGCTATTTTTCAATATCCTGAATTTTCAATTTTTCTTACTTATTTTCAATTTCCCTAATTTCAAATTTTCGATTTTTCAATTTTTTCATTGTTCGACTTCGATTTTCCGACTTTCGATATTTCGTTTTCCTACATTTCGGTTATTTAGATTCTCGAATTTTTGAGCTTTCAGTTTTTTAATTTTTTGATTTCCGAAATTGCGGTTCTTCTAATATTAGATTCATCGAATTTCCCATTTTTCAATATTGGAATTTTCAATTTGTTTTTTTTTTGATTTTTCAATTTTTGAATTCTTTGCCTTTTCAAATTTTCCATTTTCAATTTTTGATTTTTTAAATTTTCTACTCTTGGGTGGGTATTTAGGTGTTTTAATTTTTTTCTTTTCGATTTTGCGATATTCGGATTTTCAATTTCTTTCCTTTTCAATTTTTCAGTTCTTTGATTTTTCAGATCTATTTTTCGAATTTTGGATTATTGATTTTTCAATTTTTCCATTCTTCAATTTTTCGATTTTACTTTTTTCGCTTTTTTAATTTCTCGAGTTTTCGATTTTCGTTGATCGAATTTTTAATCGTATTAGTTTTCCTTTTTTAGATTTTTACTTTTCGGTTTGTCGAATTTTCAACTTTTTAGTATTTCAGTTTTCTCAATTTTTTACATTTCGTTCTTTCAATTTACGATTTCAAACATCTGATTCATGGAATTTTTGATTTTCTCAGTTTCGATTTTTCATACATATTTTCAATTTCAGTAATTTAAAATTTTCGATTTTTCGATATTCTAATTTTCAATTATTTTAATTTAGAATTCTCAATTTTCATTTTTTGAACTTTTCAATTTTAAAATTTTCGATTATTCGACTGTCAATATTTTCTAAGAGGCGAAATATAGAAAATGTTTGGTTTTTCTATATTTCGCCTCTTGAATTTTCCGATTTTTCTAAAACGAAAATCCGAAAAATTGGAAAACCGAAAATTCGAAAATTCGGAAAATTCAAGAGGCGAAATATACTTAGAAAACCCAAATATTTTCTAAGAGGCGAAATATAGAAAATGTTTGGTTTTTCTATATTTCGCCTCTTGAATTTTCCGATTTTTCGAAAACGGAAATCCGAAAAATTGGAAAAACGAAAATTCGAAATATCGGAAAATTCAAGAGGCGAAATATACTTAGAAAACCCAAATATTTTCTAAGAGGCGAAATATAGAAAATGTTTGGTTTTTCTATATTTCGCCTCTTGAATTTTCCGATTTTTCGAAATCTTTATTTGAATGTTCGAATTTTCGGTATTCCAATTTTTCGAATTTTCGTTTTCTCGATTTTCGAATTTTCAATTTTAAAATTTCCAATTCTCGATTTTTCAATTGTTTCATTTTACCACTTTGATTTTTCGACTGTCGATATTTCGTTTTTTCTACATTTCAATTCTTGGGAATTTAGATTTTTCGAAATCTCGTTTTTCGAATTTTTGATTTTTTGATTCTCGAATTTTCAGTTTTTCCAATATTTTTGACACTCCAATTTTCATTTTTTTTTATTTCTTGATCTAATTTTCGATTTATTTTTTTTTACTTTTTTCGCTTTTTTCATTTCTCGAGTTTTCGTTTTTCGATACCCGAATTTTTGATGTTTTTAGTTTTCATTTTTTCGATCTTTATTTCTTCGTACATATCTCGATTTTTCAGTTTTGTTCTTCAGTTTTTACTTTTCGGTTTCTCGAATTTTCAATTTTTCATTTCTCGATTTTTCAATTTTTCCACTTTCCGTCTTTTAATATTTTCTTTTTTTCAATCTTCGATTTTTTGATTCATCGCTTTTTTAATTTTCAGAGTTTGTTACGAATTTTCGATTTTGCATATTTTCAATTTTTCCATTTTTCGACTTCTCGATTTTAGATTTTTCAAATATTCGACTTTCGATATTTAGTTTCTTGGATTTTCGATTTTTCGATTTCTCTATTTGAATTTTTGATTTTTAGATTTTCAAATTTTCGGTTTTCCGAGTTTTAGGATTTTCGTTTTCGAATATTTAATTAATCGAATTTTAGATTTTGCGATATTCGAATTTTGTTGCCTTTTCGATTTTTTAATTTTTTTTAAATCTTCGATTTTTTTAATTTTCGACTTTTCATTTTTTCCATTCTTCATTTTGTTTTAGCTTTTCGATTTTTCAATATGCTATTACTTTTTTACTTTTTGATCTTTAGATTGTTAAAATTTTTTGATTTGAATTTTTTTGATTTCTAGAGATTTCTATTTTCGACACTAAAATTTTCAATCTTTCTACTTTCAGATTTTTCGATATCGGATTTTTGCTTTTCCATTTCACGAATTTTGAACTTTTCCATTCTTCAGGTTTTTAATTTTTCATTTTTTTAATTATCGATTTTTGATTTCTTGCGTCCTCGATTTTTCGCTTTGTCGATTTTCGACCTTTTTATTTTTCGATTTTTTTACTTTCCGGCACATTTTGCTGTTTTTACGATTTTTGAACATTCGATGTTCCGATTTTTCAAATAACAAAGATTACCAAATCATGATTTTTTAAAGAAACGGGATTTAGTGGGTTTTACTTCAAGGGCAAGGGAAGTTCTGTTGAAATAACCTTGTTCCAATTTTTATTTATCACAAGTTCGTTGTATGTCGATTTTATCGCGAATACCCACATCTTAAAATTTATTTTTCAGCATTTTTTATCACATCATATTTTAAAATCTACTTCATACCTATTCTTCTATAGTTTTTTAACCGTAGTACCCACAAACAGTACTGATTCTAGTAATACAACTGTGATTTCACTCATGTCTTTAAATAAGAAAAAAAATTGATTACTGAGAATTTTGAAACAGATTGAAATTATTTAAAAAAAATGAAACTAATCAATATGAAGTATTTTTTTCCAGTTGTAGCACGTGAAAGCTAAACTTATGAAAAATGAATTCATACAAAGAATTTGAACAATTTGAAAAACAGATCGATATCTTAAAATTCCTTATCACTTCCACGTATTTTATTTTTTCAATCATCATAAACACATTTTTATCTAAGTAATAAGTGCAAACACTTCAAAAAGCGGAATTTGTCGTTTAAACCAACAATCAGATAAATAAAATTTTCCATTCCGATAATAATCTCAATGTGATGATCCAAACAACTTGCGTAAATTAAAATCACAACCATAACCTACCTCACCCTGATCCCCGTGATCTCCATGTCCACCCTGGTCCCCGTGTCCCCCGAAATCATAATTCCCATTTCCATTATTCAGGTCATAATTCGGCGTCCCATAACTACTAAGCGGCGCACTCAGCGGCGTCCCGTAGTTCGAGCTCGGGGGTTCGCACCTCGCCGCCCCCAGGACCGCCACCACCATCCAGAAAATCTTAAAATTCTCAATCGTTACCCCAAAAAACACCCATCTCGCCCCTACCTTAACAGCCATAATTCCACAAGTCACTAGCACGCACCGTAATTAACCCACCAGCAGTACCACAATACTGGGAGACGCAATATTAATTTGGTTTATATATGGTCCGTGATGTTTAGTAACCCATTGTCTGTGGTTATGTGGAGTAAGACTTTTACTCCACTTAACTCCCACAAGCATTTTTCGAATCCCCGCTTATTCCTTGCGTCTAATCCGTTACGTTGCGTAACGCTAATTTCGATGACAATTTTTATAGTGGTTGCGTAACGGGTTTTGTTACCTTCAATTAAGTGTAATTGAAGAGTGAACCGATGAAAGATCGGTTCTCAAGCTCGGTAATTAAGACGCTTTTTATTTGACGTGTGGTAACGCTTACTTACTCTTTGTTACGTTTTAATCCGACAAAATTGCTTAATTCGGAGAGGTTTGTTTGATCCATTGATGAACGCCGATGTTTATTTAAATTTGATTTATTTAGAGCGGGTAATGAGGTGCGACGGAGACGCTTTGATAAAAGGACAAAAGCGTGACGTAACGATAACGTAACGTTAAGTTAATCGTGTCGGAGTTACTAAGTGGTGGAAACGCTGAAGAAGAAAAATTATAATTGAGTGAAACTTATTGTTCGTTTTTTTATTTTCCCAAAATGAAATTCAGAAATGGTTTTTTCCTAGAAAATGACTTCATTTTTCGGATCGAGAGTGACAGGAAGGTGCTACTGCTCCGGCTATCTGATTCAGATGTCAGATCTTCATTGCGTGTTTTTCTGAGGATAGAATGCATTCATTGAGTGCTTGTTTAGTGTGAATTGTAGCAGCGATAAAATCTATGCAAATAAGGATTCAAGGTTCTGCAAGCGTTTTCATTATTGTTTAAAGTTAAAATATTGGGTTGACGGTGTGATTTTTTTAAGTTCACACAGTTATGTAGCCCAGTAAGTGCGTTAAAATTTATTGTAAATTTTGTACAATGTGACACATAATTGGAGAATAAATATTTAAAGTTTGAGCATTTAATTCAGTTCCAGAATTTTAAAAATAATTTTTCACTGGAATCCGCTTAAACGGGATCATCCCCTCCAAAATTTTAATGACGTCGTCTGGAAAAATTATTAGATACGCTATTATTGGAAAATATACTTTAAAGCATCAAAGTATCGTGAAATTTTAGAGGTAGTTTCAACCCCTAATTTCAGAGAGTTATAAATTTGGCTTATGTTTATATAGGTAATAAAGCTTAAAAAAGCCGACAAGAAATTTTATATTGTCTTTATTATCACCCTCAAGGGAATAAAAAGGGATAAAATTCTTGAAAAAGTCTGAAGCTTGTAAGTATTACTATTTGAGAGCAACATACAGTTAAAAAGAAAATTGTCTATTGATTAAATTGACTGGTAATTTTTTTATCTTGTCGAATATAAATTTTGTACCATTAGTGAGCACAGTGAGTACAGTGAAAATACGTGTTAAAATTAAGGGTACGTCTAATTCAGGATTTAAACAAAAATAATTCGCAATCGATGCCACTGTCCCATCCAACTAGCGCAATAAGGCTTATTAATTAAAGATTTTACCTATATTTTTGGTTTTATTGTTTGCAAAATCAGGTCAGGTCGTGAAAAGTGAAAAGAATTTTTCTGAAAAATACGAATAAAAGCAAAAACAAAGTGTATGCTTTAAATTCGCTGTTTCTTGAAATTTTTTGGCAATGGTTATTTTCAAAGTCTGTCTTACAATATTTTGTGAAAGGATAAATCAACGCTCTTTGTTGTGGTATTAACTAAATCAAATTTTAAAATACACAGCTTTCATAAAAAAATCTAAAATTTTACAATTTCAAACATTGATATTTCAGTTTCTTTAAATGGAACATCCTGTATTTTATTACTGTATGTTACTGTTTTTTTTCCTCATTTTTCTAATATGTCGATCTGTCTCCTAAAAATGTAAAAAATCCCACTGTTAACTTTAAATATTGAAAATTCTCAGAAAAAGCGAAAGAAAACAAAAAATGGAATGAAATGCCGTAATAAAGTGAGTGAAACAGAGCGTTCTATTTAAAATGACTGGAATATTGTTATTTGAAAATTGTAATAATCAAAACATTTTTATGAACACTCTGCATACGAAAATTTAATCTCATTTATGCCACAACAAACAGAGTACATTTCTTTATCTCTCTACGAAATGTATCTAACATAGATTTTAAAAATAATCCCACTATGATTTTTTTTCCACTTCGATGGCTAAAGAATTTCAAGAAAATTTTAACATGCCATCATTATTTCGAAAATAAACTGTGATGATTATAAAGCCTAAGAAGAGGTTTATTAAAACATGTAAAGATATATAGGGTGAGTGAGTGAGTGACTGACTGATTGACTGACCGACTAACTGATTGACTGACTGACTGAATGACTGAGCGATCGACTGACTGAGTGACCGAGTAACTCACTGACTGAGTGACTGACTGGTTGACGGAATGACTGAATGACTGGGTGACTGACTGTATGACTGACTGATGGATGAACGATTCATCGAATTTTCAATTTTCGACGTTTTGAATCTTCGAATTTGAGAACACCCGATTTTCGATTTCTCGAGTTTATTTTTTTGATTTTTGGAAATTCTTATTTTCGGTTTTTCAGTTTTCGAAATTTAGATTTCCGTTTTGTTCATTTTTCGAAATTCGAATTTTCTATTCTTTTACAATTTCTCGATTTTTCAATTTTTCTTTTAGCTTCTTCCCTTTTAGAATTTTCGATTTCTCGTCTTTTGATAGTTCGTTTTTTATAAATTTCGACTCTTGGGTATTTAGATTTTTAGAAATCCCGATTTTTGATTTTTTGATTTTTCCATTTTTAGATTTTCGAATTTTCAGTTTTCCGAATATTTGATTTTTCAATATTGAGAGACTGACTGACCGACTGAGGGAGTTAGTGAGTGAGTGAGTGAGTGAGTGAGTGAGTGAGTGAGTCAGTGACTGACTGACTCATTCGCTAGCTGACTGATTAATGAATGATTCATCGAATTTTTAATTTTCGACGATTTGAATCTTCGAATTTGAGATCACTCGATTTTAGAATTCTCGAGATTATTTTTTTGGATTTCTTGAAATTCCTTTTTTAGGTTCTTTTAGTTTTCGAACTTTAGAATTCCGTTTCGTTCATTTTTTGAAATTTGAATTTTCAATTCTTTCGCTGTTTCAATTTCTCGATTTTTCAATTTTTTTTTCGATAACTCGATATTCGAATTTTTGATTTGTTTTAACTGTGGTTTCTCGATTTTTCAAATTTTTTATTTTTCGACTTTCTATAATTCGTGTTTTCTACATTTCGATTCTTGGGTATTCAGATTTTTAATAATCCCGATTTTCGAATTTTTGATTTTTCGAATTTTAGATTTTCGAATTTTCGGTTTTTCGAATATTTGATTTATAGAATTTTCGATTTTTCAAAATTGGAATTTTCAGTGTGTCTCTTTTTCGATTTCTGAATTCTCCAATTTTTCAATTCTTCGACTTATTAATTTTTCGATTTTTGATTATCCAAATTTTCATTCTTCAGTATGTAGGCATTTTACGTTTTTTACTTTTAGATTTTTCGGTATTTTAATAGTTGAATTTTCAATTCGCTTCCTTTTCAATTTTTCAAATTTTTGATTTTTCCAATACTCGATGTTTCAATTTTTCTATTCTTCAGTTTTTAGACTTTGAATTTTTTTCTCTTCGAATTTTCGATATTCACATTCTTTTTTTTTACATTTCGATTACCTATTTTTCATTCTTCGATTTTTCAGTTGTTTAACTTATTTCGTTCTTTTGATTTCTCGAGTTTTCGATTTGCTACTTTTTTTGATTTTTAAGACTTATAATTTTTTTACTTTTCTGTGTCTCGAAGTTTTAATATTTGCATTCTACAGTTTTTCAATTTCTCAGTTTTTAATTCTCGCTTTCTCATTTTTCGATTACGATACTACGACTTTCCAACTTTCGAATATTCGTTTTTTCAATTTTTGATTTTTTGAATATTTCATTCATCGCACTTTTGATTCTTTGAGTTTTGATTTTTCGATATTTCGAATTTTCAATTTCTGTATTTTCATTCTAATTTTTAATTTTTTAAATTTTTTAATTTTTCTATTTTTCAACTAAAGAATTTCAAGAAAATTTTAACATGACATGATAATTTCCGAAATAAAATATAAGTGAATGACTGAGCGACTGACTGACAGAGTGACTGACTGACTGAGTGACTGACTGACTGACTGACTGACCGCCTCTACTGCTAAGTGACTGACTGACTAACTGATTGATTAATGATTCATCGAATTTTTTTTACGATTTCTGGAAATTCATTCCAATTTTCGGTTTTTCAGTTTTCGAATTTTAGATTTCCGTTTTGTTCATTTTTCGAAATTCGAATTTTCAATTCTTCTACTGTTCGTGATTCAGTTTCTCGAGTTTTCAGTTTTTCGACGTTCGCTTTTTAGATATTTCGAACTGTCGATTTTTCAAATTTTCAATATTCAAAATTTCGAATTTTCCATTTTTCGAGATTCGAGTTTTTAATTTTTTTATTTTCCGACTTTTCGATTTTTCGGTTTTAGAATTTTCGATTTTTCGACTTTCAATAGTTGGTTTTTTATATTCTTGGATGTTTAGATTTTTAGACATCCCGATTTTCGAATATTTGATCCATTGAATTTTCGATTTCTGTATTCTCCAATTTTTCAATTCTTCGACTTATTAAATTTTCGATTTTTCATTTTTTGAATTTCCATTTCTTTAGTATGTAGGCTTTTTGATTTTTTTACTTTTCGATTTTTCGACATTCAGATTTTCGATTCGGATTTTTTGCTTTTAAAATTTTCGATTTTTTGTACATTTCGATTCTTGGGTTATTTCCATTTCTTTAGTATGTAGGCTTTTTATTTTTTTTACTTTTCTATTTTTCGACATTCAAATTTTCGATTTGGATTTTTTGCTTTTTTAATTTTCGATTTTTTGTACATTTCGATTTTTGGGTTTATCGATTTTTCGAAATCCACAATTTTTCAATTCCCACGTGCTTCAGTTTTTAAACTTCTAAACTTTTTTATTTTTCAGACTCTCGAATTTTCAATTTTTCCATTTTTCAGTTTCCTAATTTTTTACTATTTTGCTTTTTCATTTCTCGATTTTATGAGTTTCCGACTTTTCAAAATTTTTATTTCTTAATTTTCGATTTACCGAATTTTCCATTCTTCAGATATTCAAATTTTCAATTTTTTTAGTTTCGATTTCTCAAGTTTACAATTTTTCCATTTTTGGCTTTATGAATTTGCGATTTTTCGACATTCGATATTTCGTTTCTTCCACAATTCAATTCTTGCGTTTTTCGAAATCTCATTTGTCAAATGTTTGATTTTTCGGTTCGATTTTTAATTTTTCGAATTTTCGGTTTTTCAAATATTTTGTTTGTCGAATTTTCGATTTTTTAATATTCGGATTATTGAGAAACTGGATATTAAAAAATCGAAAATTGTTTCCTTTTCAATGTCTCAATTTTTTAGTTTTTCACTTCTTCGATTTTTAATTTTTCGACTTTTCTGTATTTTATTACATATTCGAATTTTTAATTCGCTTCCTTTTCAATTTATTGATTTTTCAATTTTTCAATTCTTCGATTTTTCATATTTTTGACTTTTCTATTCTTCAGTTTTTAGAGTTTAATTTTTTTTTTCTGCGAATTTCAAATATTACTTTTTTTACTTGTCGATTATCTATTTTTAATTCATCGATTTTGCAATTTTTTAACTTATTTCGCTTGTTTGATTTCTCGAGTTTTCGATTTTTCTAATTTTTATCTACCACATTTTTCTATTTTTAATTTTTCGAATTTTGATATCAACTTTTACGTTCTTCAATTTTGAGACTTTTAATTTTTTTTACTTTTCTGTTTCTCGAATTTTCAATATCAGCATTCTTCAGTTTTTCAATTTCTCAATTTTTTAATTTTCGTTTCTCATTTCTCGATTTTTCAATATTACGACTTTCCAACTTTTCGAATTTTTGATTTTTTGAGTATTTCATTCCACGAATTTTTGATTTTTTGAGTTTTGATTTTTCGATATTTCGAATTTGCCATTTTTGATATTTTCAATTTCTGTTTTCAAAAAGAATTTCAAGAAAATTTTAACATGACATCATAATTTCCGAAATAAACTGTGACTGAAAAGCCTAAGAATAGGTCCATTAAAATATGTAAACATATAGAGTGAATGACTGAGTGACTGATCAAGAGAGTTACTGTTTGACTGAAAGACTGAGTGACTGACTGAGTAGATGGTTGACCGGCTGACTGACTGAGGGTTTGAGTGACTGACTGACAGAGTGACTGATTGACTGAGGATTTGAGTGAGTGACTGACTAACAGAGTGAATGAATAACTGAATAATTAGGTGACTGAGAGACTAAATAACAGAATGATTAAGTGATCGAGTAACTGACCGGCTGATTGAGTGATTGAGTAACTGACCGGCTGATTGAGTGACTGACTGACAATTGACAGACTCAATAACTGAATGATTGGCTGAATGAGTGAGTGACTCTGTGATTGATTGAATGACTCACTAAGTGACTTAGCGACTGACTTAGTGACTGAGTGACTAACTAGATGACTGATTGTCTGACTGTTTAACTGATTGACTGACTGATTGACGGACTGATTGTGTAGCTGACCAACTGAGCCACATAAAAAAAACAAGTTGTGCATTACGCCTTAAAACAGAACACTCTGTACAGTTTTTTAACTTATTTCGTTTTTTTGGTTTCTCTTCCACTTTTTTCGATTTTTAATTTTTGGAATTTTCATATTTCAGTTTTACGTTTTTCAATTTTAAGACTTTGTTATTTTTTTAATTTTCTTCTGTTTTTCGAATTTTCAATATTTGAATTCTTCAGTTTTTCTATTTCTCAATTTTTTAGTTTTCGCTTTCTCATTTTTCGATTTTTCAATATTACACTTTCCAACTTTTTGAATTTTTGTTTTTTCAATTTTCGATTTTTTGAATATTGCATTTATCGAATCTTTGATTTTTTGAGCACTGATTTTTCGATATTTCGAATTTCCGATTTTTCATATTTTCAATTTCCGTAATTTCAAATTTTCGAATTTTCGATATTCTAATTTTCAATTTTTTAATTTTTTCATTTTTTGACAAAAGAATTCAAGAAACTTTTAACATGGCATCATAATTTCTAAAATAAACTGTGACTGTAAAGCCTAAGAAGAGGTCTATTAAAATATGTAAAGATATATAGGGCGAGTGACTGAGTGACTGACTGACACAGTGACTCAGTGATTACCTGACTGATTGACCAAGTGACTCACTGAGTGACTGACTGACTGACTCTACTGACTAAGTAACTGACTGACTGACTGACTGACTGAGGGATTGAGTGATCGACTGACTGATTGACTGAATGACTCAGTGACTGAGTAACTGAGTGACTGACTTACTGACTGACTGAGCGACATTAAAAAAAAACAAGTTCTGCATTACGCCATAAAACAGAACACTCTATACAGTTAAAAATACTTTTAAAATATAGTTCTCAAGAAATCGTACAACTTCGACCTTTAATTTTTTCTATTTCTAATATTTAATGAGATAATGAAGAACGCGCACTTAGTGACTCACGCTGTATATTCTAACAAAGAAATAGTCTTAAACTAGATCTCAGTGGATGAATACCTTATGTTTGTTAAAATTTTATAACATAGCTAAAAAACCATGGTATGTTGCAGGTTTTCTATAAAATATGCTTAATAAAAAGTCAAACTCTGGTTAAGGAGAAAACTTAGAGTACATTTTTTAAAATTCTAATTGTATTGCAAAGGCGAAGAAGAAGACGTAAAAAATTGAATGATTTTCTATTGGATAATTTTCATTAGTATATTTTATGAATCTAGAATCAAACAAAATTTATCTAGAAGACACAATTTCTTAATTAAAATATTTTGTAATTAGTGTTAAATTTTAGACAAAATTGTTGATAGTTTTTATCAAAAATAACGAACTAGTTTAAAAATTAAACAGAAAATACTTTTCTGGCTTAGAAAAAGTCTTATTTTTGTATTTGGTATTTGTCTAAAGTTTTAAGCAAGAACCTCGTCATTTTTAGAAAGAAAAATTTGGAAACAAGAAAAAATAAAGATAGGTGGCAAAACACTACAAACTATCTACAAAAAAAAATCGTGTTGTCCTCCAAGTCGGTCCCAAATAGTAACTAATTGTCCTGTCTGTTGTTATTAACAGTTCGTTCGCCCATAAATTTTATTTACGACTTCAGCATTTCCCTGACCCTATTTGCGGTTTTCGCTCAACCCATCATTCTCCCAATTACAAAATGTTTCCATGTCTTGCATTCAATCTGCTCACTGGACTGTTAAATTATCTAAATAATTAAATCAGACTATAATGAATCGACCACACAAAAACGCCAACATTCTGCAATTTCGCACAATAAATTTTGAAACTTATAAGACCCGCTAACCCACATCTAACTGTGAACACCTCTTGCCCAACACCCGAAGAATCCCCACAGTGTTTAATTTGAACAAAATTATAGATTTATGGCCGGTACGAGCAATCAATAAATCACACTCGCGGCCAAAATTATACCAAATTAATCAATTATTTATTCGAGTACGAGTTTTCCCAAATGCGTAACTACCATGACTTTCGTAACGCTGAAATTACATACCTGAGAATCTAAACTATTTCCAAATAATGTAATTAAAGTTTAATTGTATTATTACCGGCGTAAGATGTGAAGAACATTGCGCTGATGACGTTGTCCGGTAATTAAGTAGCAAATTTTATGGCAGACAAATGAGAATTAATTAGATGAACTGGTTATTACACGTTTCTGTTTTATGAGGTTTGCATGATCCGCCGAGGCTGAAAAAACTGATTTGATCTCGTTTAAATGATGACTGGCGGGAGTTCGTGGAGATGATATCGGGCTTAATTAGAGGTGAGTGTATAATTTGGAAAGCGAGCTTCATATGGATAATTATTGTTTTTTGTAGAATTTTTCGAGTGGTTAAAGTGACCGCGATGGCGTAACACAGAAGGAAATTTCTCACTATGAAAGATCCGCATTTTCAACACAGTCGGTCTTAAACTGGGATAACAATAACATTAACACGCCATATATAGTCAGGTTATGGTGTAGAGAGATATATGAACACATTGTTTCCAGATAATATCTTTAAAACGAGTTTATTTGAAAGATGATTGTTTAATTTCAGTCCTGCCACAACATATTCCGTAAGGGTGCCCTGTGACGTCATTAAAATGGAGAACACTTGTTACGTCATGTCACGTGGTGGCGGGAAATGTCTGAGTGCCAGTTGTGAAACCAGGTGGGGGCAGCCTAAATAAGAACACATTTTCCGGAAGACACGACCTCATTTAATAATCATTATTTTCTTTTACAAAGTGTTACGTTTTATTTTTGGAAACTTGCTTATACTAAGTATAATAATTACTCAAATAAATTTAAATTTTCAGCTTTTTTGTGTTAATCGCCTATTGCTTACGAAACTAAGCAGTTAATTACCTTTAGATATGTAGTTTGTTGAGGCCCTAATTTCCAACACTCGCACGCACTTAACTGATTAACACACTTAAGATTAACATTTTGATTTTTTTTGTCTAAGTGATCACTAATTTAAGGATGTGGTCTGTGTCAATGCCCGCAGGAAACTACCTCTTTTCCCCCGTCCCCAACTAAACACACCACCCAACGAAAAGGCATCTTCTAAGTACGCATTCCACAAGAATCAATATTCTCTGTGTAGGGCGCAGGAAAAACTGGAAGGATGAACAAGCGCATGACGTCCCGGGGCAAAGTTTAGTTCAAATCGGGCTTTTATAATATTATGTAGGTATAATATGATGTACATGGTAAAAAGCTATAAAATTTATCTAATCTAGTATGATGTCGTCATCTCCTTTTTTATAAAAATAGTAAAGGTTATTTACATTTTTTTGTAAAATAACGTACTCCGCTACTTGTGGTTTATGAATCCGTGTCGAGTTTTTACCCTACGCATTCAGACTGGTGGAAAAATAAAAATTGTATGACAATATTAACAATATTTTAAAACTTAATTCTAATATTGCAAAATCGAATGCTTTGAAATCTTACAAATGTCTTAAGGTTATTGTTAACAAAACTTATCTGCTCATGACCCCTCCAAGAATCGATGGTTAAAAACTTACGTAGCCCTGAACTTGTGGTTTATGAATCCGTGTTGAATTTTTATACTAGACATCGAGATTTATGGGAAAAGTCTGGAAAGTACGATTTTTCGTTTTCTCATTTCTCCGAATTTTCGATTTTTTATTTTTCGATTTCTCAATTTTCCGATTTTTCACTTTTTGATTTCCCAAATTCTCGATTTTTTAATTTTTCGATGTTTTTGGATTTCCTATTTCTCGATTTCTGGAGTTTTCGATGTTTCGAATTCTCAATTTCTGCAATTCCCCAAATTATTATCAATTTTTCAGTTTCTCAGTCTTTCAATGTTTCAGGTTGGAGATTTTTCAGTTTTGAAATTTTTCAATTTTTCAGTTTTTCAGTTTTTCGATTTTTCAATTGTTCAGTTTTCTGATTTTTCGATTTTTCAATTTTTTCATTTTCCAGTTTTTCTATTTGTCAATTTTCCAGATTTGTTTTGGGATTTTTTAGTTTTTCGATTCTTCAATTTTTTGATATTTTCATTTTCCCAATTCTCGATTTCTCGATTTTTCAATTACACTATGCAACACTAAAAAATTCACAGAAAGTTCAGATAGTGTTTGAGGTTGGGTATACTCCATATATTAAAGAAAAAAATGTTTTATACTCATATCACATCACAAAACATAGATAACGGGTGTTTTGTTTTTCTTACTTTTTGAGACACTTGATTGCATTTAATCGTAAAAATATCGCTTTTATGTATCCACCCATGCTTGCAGACTTCTGTTGGTGTCTTCAGAGGGATACTGCGAGATCTGGCTACAATAGGAATGCCAATCGTTCGAAAAAAAAGACCTTTCTAATGAAAAATGAAGTATTGTTTTATTAATTTTGTATGATTTCAAAAAATTCAATAAACACTTTTCATTGTGATACCTGATGTGATAGGTTGGGTACCTATACTCCATATACTAAAGAAAAAAATGTTTTATACCCATATCACATCATAAAACATATATAACGGGTGTTTTGTTTTTCTTACTTTTTGGGTCACTTGATTGCAGTTAATCGTAAAAATATCGCTTTTATGTATGCACCCATGCTTGCAGACTTCTGTTGGTGTCTTCAGAGGGATACTGCGAGATCTGGCTATAATAGGAATGCCAATCGTTCGAAAAAAAAAGACCTTTTTCAATGAAAAATGAAGTATTGTTTTATTAATTTTGTATGATTTCAAAAAATTCAATAAACATTTTTCATTGTGATACCTGATGTGATATGTTGGGTACCTATACTCCATATACTAAAGAAAAAAATGTTTTATACTCATATCACATCACAAAACATAGCTAACGGGTGTTTTGTTTTTCTTACTTTTTGGGACACTTGATTGCATTTAATCGTAAAAATATCGCTTTTATGTATCCACCCATGCTTGCAGACTTCTGTTGGTGTCTTCAGAGGGATACTGCGAGATCTGGCTACAATAAGAATGCCAATCGTTCGAAAAAAAAGACCTTTTTCAATGAAAAATGAAGTTTTGTTTTATTAATTTTGTATGATTTCAAAAAATTCAATAAACACTTTTCACTTTGAAACCTGATGTGATACGATTCTTTCAAGCATGATCCTCAATTGAGTTTGAGGTAAGAAATTTTAACTACATACTGTGCATTCTGTGAATTTTATTTTTTTTTAATTTGTTGCATAGTGTTATTAAATTCTTCAATTTATCAATTTTTAAATTTTCCGATTTTTCAATTTTTCCACTTTTTGGGTTTCCTATTTCTCGATTTCTCGAGCTTATTCTCAATTTCTTGATTTTTCAGATTTTTCAATTCCCCAAATTTTCGATTTTTCAGGTTTTTGATTTTTCGATTTTTCAGTTTTTCAATGTTTCAGGTTGGAGATTTTTCAGTTTTTTGATTCTTCAATTTTTGGATTTTTTAAATTTTGTTTCGACTTTTCAGTTCTTCAGTTTTGAAAATTTTAAATTTTTCAGTTTTTCGTTTTTTCAATTGTTCAGTTTTCTGATTTTTCGATTTTTCAATTTTTTCATTTTCCAGTTTTTCTATTTGTCAATTTTTCCATATTGTTTTGGGATATTTTAGTTTTTCGATTCTTAAATTTTTTGATATTTTCATTTTCCCAATTCTCGATTTCTGGATTTTTCAATTATTAAATTCTTCGATTTATCAATTTTTAATTTTTCCAATTTTTCAATATTTCCACTTTTTGGGTTTCCTATTTCTCGATTTCTCGATATAATTCTCAATTTCTCGATTTTTCAGATTTTTCAATTCCCCAAATCTTCGGTTTTTCAAGTTTTTGATTTTTCGATTATTCAGTTTTTTAAATTTGCAATTCTTCAATTTTCCACTTTTCGTTTCCTCAATTTTTCTATTTTTCAGTTTCTCAGTTTTTCAATGTTTCAGGTTGGAGATGTTTCAGTTTTTTGATTCTTCAATTTTTGGATTTTTTAAATTTTGTTTCGACATTTCAGTTCTTCAGTTTTGAAAATATTCAATTTTTCAGTTTCAGTTTTTCGATTTTTCAATTGTTCAGTTTTCTGATTTTTCGATTTTTCCAGTTTTTCTATTTGTTAATTTTTCCATATTTGTTTTGGGATTTTTTAGTTTTTCGATTCTTCAATTATTATTAAATTCTTCAATTTATCAATTTTTAAATTTTTCCACTTTTTGGATTTCCTATTTCTCGATATTATTCTCAATTTCTCGCTTTTTCAGATTTTCCAATTCCTCAAATTTTCTATTTTTCTGGTTTTTGATTTTTCTATTTTCCAGTTTTTTAAATTTGCGATTCCTCAATTTTCCATTTTCGATTTCTCAATTTTTCTATTTTTCAGTTTCTCAGTCCTTCAATATTTGAGTTTCGGAATTCTATAGTTTTTCAAATTTTCAGTTTTTCAATTTTTCGGTTTCCTGTTTTATCGAGCTTTCGATATTTCGATTTTTCGATTGTTCAGTTTCCCAATTTTTCAATTTTTTGATTATCCAATTTTTCGATTTGTGAATCTTTCCATATTTGTTTTAGGATTTTTCAGTTTTTCGATTCTTCAATTTTTTGATTTCTCGGCTTTTCAATTTTTTAATTTTTTGGATTTTCCCAATTCTCGATTTCTCGATTTTTTGATGTTTTGGATTCTTAATTTCTTGATTTTTCCATTTATTCAGATTTTTAATTTTTCAATTTTTTAAATTTGTGATTTTTCGAAGTTTCGACTTTTAGATTTTTTAAATTCAACATTTTTAGATTTTTCAGTTTTTCAGTTGTTAGATTTTTCGATTTCTCGGTTTTGACTGAAAAACAAAAAAATCGTTGTTTGTTTTGGAATTTTTCAATTTTTCGAATTCTCGATTTATCCAGATTTCCATGGTTCGATTTATCGATTGCTCAGTTTCCTGATTTTTTGGTTTTTCAATTTTTTGATTTATCGAGTTTTTTTAACATAAATTTTTCGATTTGTTGGCTATTTCCGATTTCTTGATTTCTCGGTTTTTCAATTTTTCGATTTTTCAATTTTTCGATTTCTCGATTTATTAAGATTTTGACTGAAAAACCAAAAAATCGAAAAACTGAATAATCGATTCAGTTTTTCGGTTTTTCGATTTAACGATTTTTTCGGTCTTCCAATTTTTAATTTCTAGGTTTTTCGATTTTGAGTATTTTTTCGATTTTTCGACATCCCGACTTTCCAATTTCACAAATTCTCGATCTTTCGATGTTTCGATTTCTCGGTTATCCGTTTTTCGGTTTCTCGATTTATCAATTATTATTGTTCAGTTTTCTGATTGTTTGGTTTTTCAAATTTTCGATTTTTTTAATTTAAATTTTTCAATTTTCCAATTTTTAATTTTTCTATTTTCCATTTTGGCCTATTTCGATTTCTCGATGTTTCAATTTTTTAATTTTATGATGTTTCGATTTTCGATTTTCCAATTTTTCGAAATTTCGATTTTTTACTTGGATTCAACATTTCAGTTTTGGAATTTGTCAGTTTCTCGATTTTTCAAATATTTGATTTTTAAATTTTCCGATCATTCAATTTTTCAATTTTTAGCGTTTCTAAAATTTTTTCCATTTTTAGACATTTCAATTTGTCATTTTTAGATTTCCTGTTTCTCGATTTCTTGACTTTTCGGTGTTTCGGATTCCCAATTTCCCGATTCTCGATTTTTCCATTTTTCAGGTATTCAATTCTTCAATTTTTCGATTTCTCAGGTTTTTGATTTTTCAATTTTTCAGTTTTTTTAAATTTACGATTTTTCGATTTTCGGTTTGGGGATTTTTTATTTTTTCGATTTCTTGATTTCAATTTTTCTGTTTCTGAATTTTTAAATTTTTAATTTTTTTAATTTTTCACTTTTTCGATTTTTCAATTATTCAATTTTTCGATTTCCCGATTTATCGAGGTTTAGATATTGCGATTTTTCGACTGTTCAATTTCCCGATGTTTCAATTTTTCAATTTTTTAATTTTCCGATTTTTCGATTTATCAATTTTAATTTTTCGATTCATCGATTTAAGGTTTATTTTGATTTCCAGTTTATCAATTTTTAAATTCTTGGATAACTTAGTTTTTCTATCTTTAATTTGAAGATTTTTCTATTTCTTGATCTTTCGATTTTTTGATGTTCTGGTGTTTAAAAATTTTTGATTTTTGGATTTATCGAGATTTCGATTTAACGATTGTTCAGTTTCGTGATTTTTTGGTTTTTCAATTTTACGATTTTTTTTATTCGAAATTTTTCGGTTTTCCAATTTATTTTTCGATTTTTCGATTTTGGGCAATTTTGATCTCTGGATTTTTCAATTTTTCGATTTTTGACTTCTCGACTTCACAATTTTTCGGATTCTCGATTTTTTGATTTTTCAATTTCTCGATGTTTCATTTTTTTATTTATCGATGTTTCAATTTTTGGAATTTACAATTTCTCGGTTTTTCGTTTTTTCAATTTTTCATTTTTTCAAATTTCGATTTCTCGATTTATCGGTTATTGAAATTGAAATATTTTTATTTTTTTTAATTGAAATTTTTCAACTTTCAAATTTTAATTTCTGGATTTTCCGATTTTGGGTTATTTCGACTTCTCGATGATTCAATTTTTAATTTTGTTTCGATTTCCCAGTTGCTCAGTTTTTCGATTTTTTGATTTTCCAATTTTTCAATATTTCGATTTTTCAATTTTTTCATTCTTCAATTTTTATTATATTTTTATTTTCAGTTTATCAATTTCGAAATTTTTTGATAATTTAATTTGAAGATTTTTCGATTTCTTGGTTTCTGGATTTTTTGATGTTGTATAGTTTTTCAAATTTTGATTTCTGGATTTATCGAGATTTCGATTTATCGATTGTTCAGTTTCCTGATTTTTTTGGTTTTTCAGTTTTTCGAGTTTTAAATTTATCGATTTTTTTATTCAAAATTTTTCAGTTTCACAATTTATTTTCCGATTTTTCGATTTTGGGCAATCTTTTGATCTCTGGATTTTTCAATTTTTCGATTTTCGACTTCTAGACTTTACAATTTCTTTAATTCTCGATCTTTTGATTTTTTAATTTCTCGATGTTTCATTTTTTAATTTTATGTTTCGATTTCTCAGTTGCTCTGTTTTTCGATTTTTTTGATTTTTCAAATTTTCAATAATTCGATTTTTCTCTTGATTCCCTAAATTTTTAATATTTTAATTTTGGAATTTTTCAATTTCTCCATTTTTCAATTTTTCCATTCCTCAATTTTCCGTTTTTTAAATTTTTTGATTTTTCAATTTTTGAAATGTTACAGAATGTCGATTTTTCAATTTCTTAATTCTTCAAGTTTTCTATTTTTCAATTTTTCAACATTTCAATATTGGGAATTTTTCCATTTCTCGATTTTTCAATTTTTCAATGTTTTAAATTGTTGATTTTTTGATTTTCAGATTTTTTAATGTTGCTTAACTTTGATTGTTTATGTTTATACATCGAAAGAATGTGACGATTAGGCACGTAGCAACCTGAATTTGTCTCCTCAAAAGAGAGGAGACGCTTAAAACTTAATTAAGCTATAATGGGGCAAAACGTTGTGAAAATTATTTTGGATAAGTAGCTGTTATCATGATAATTCTGGCATTATTGTTATTAAATATAGGCGGGGCCAACATTACAATAATCTCAAATTTTTATACTGGTATAAAATGTAATAATGCAATTTCGATTACTTTTTTTTTGGAAAAATCTGGATACCTGGTGTAAAAAATCAAGGCAGATTCATTACCCACAAGCATAGGAGCATGTTATTTTATAAAATTTAGATGGACTTTACTTAAAAAAAAGCTTTGAGAGGACATCATTACGAGAAAACATGAATGGATTATTATTATTATTCGCACTTTCCCAGCTTCTGAAATATAACCAAGGAGATGTGATGACAGAGATTAACTTAAAATATTTTCGAGATGATGTAAAAATTTTTTTTACATTAATCCATATAGTATCACATTTGAGCTATACAATTATTTATTATTTAATAGGCATTAGAAATATTTAATAACACAACCGTTAGATGTATTTTGAAAAATTGATACGTCAAGGTTGATCAAAGACCACAAACTTAATAATAAATAGATCAGAAGATTCCTTTGCTTCAGATTAATTAACCATTAGCTGTACTTATCGTTAAAGGTAAAGGTTAGTACAAGGAAAGTATTAATATTTCTGTAGTGAACTTCAGGCTGTTGTGAAAAAAGTAACTTTTTGTAGTAAAAAAATATCCTATACGAAGTGGTTGTGTTTAACTCGACTATACATTAATTAATATGAAAACATTGAAAATTTTCTTGGAAAAATGGGTTACGTATTTATTCGAAGTAGGACCTCCTTTGCAACCAATATTGGACGGTATCCACCCATTTCTGCACTTTTTTTTGTAATAATAGACAACATTGCAGACGACGTTTTCTTTGACATTCTCGGTGTAGCTCTTGCACTAATCTACAATAAATTTTTACGCCCACTTTCTTTCGCATTTTTTGGTTTTCTACTAGTGGAACACGTTTCTGCGATGTTGTTCGTAGCAATAACCAATCAGTGGAATTTATTTCTCACCCAGTATGCAGCAGTATTGGTCGGCTCCTTGATAGTAAGACAACAAAGAGTAACAAAAAATGAAACAAAGAAAATGTTTTAGCCACTATCTTTCTACATTACTACATTTACTAGAAACCGCACCCTTTATAAACTTTACACCGAAATATTCCCAGATTTGTGGTCTTTGCACAGCATGGGAGAAGACAATTTCAAAAATTTTCAAAAAACGGCAAATCGAGTTGTACTTGCTTACAAAATTTTTGTAATATTGCTCGTTTTAGCCGCTACTAGCGGATTACCCTGGTATGGAGATGAGTACGAAGTTATGATTCCTGTGAAAATATTCACAGATGTATTCGGAAAATGGAGCTTTCCTTTCACGACAATTTTCTACTTGTCGCTGTATCACATCGCTTTTACTATTACGGGTGGCACGACAATAATTGTTTACTTAGTGCTACACTTGTACACTCAGTGCCTCTTGCTTAATCAGAGGCTGGAAAATCTGAGCAGTTCTGTAGATTCTTTGGACGTGGCGACTCTTCAAACGAATGAAGAATATCAAAATAGAGTGAAAAATGAAATGAGTTGCTGCATTCGACATCATCAGACTTTACTTAAGTAAGTATAGCGAATTGAATGGACCGTCCTGAACAATTGTATAGATTTTTAGATCGCATTAACTATTTTTTTTATTACAAAATCTTTTATTTTACTGGAAGTGGTATAATGTTCATTGTATGTGTGATACTCATTCCTGTAAGTTTTATCCCGTCTTTGCGAATCAACACTAACGATAATTTCTTGCAGAAACCTTACTCAATGATGATGCGAATTGCATTAATCGTAATTCTGACAGTTTTCGGAGGTGGAGCTTTCGGTTTCCTTGGTCAACAAGTCGAAGACGAGGTGAAAAAGCGTCCCAGGTTTATAAACTTTTAAAAGCTTCTTTTTCCAGTCCGAACGTATTTTTTATTCTGCTGCCAACACTCCTTGGTATCTATGGAATACAAAAAATCGCAAACTTCTTCAACTGCTTTTGCAGCAGAGCCAACATAATATGGTGATTTCTAGCTCTGGAATTATCACCATCAATTTCCAGTTTTTTATCAGGGTAATTTGATACGCAATTTTGTTTATTGTGTTTAATGAAAAACAATTTTCAGTTGTATCGGTGTGTTTATTCAGTAATAATTTTCGTAATGAATATTTCTACAACAAATGCGTAACAAAAGCCATGTTGGAAACATAAGAGGTTAAAAGTTGTATACGCTCTTATTACTTGTTAGATCATTGTTTCATGTTTTAAAAAATTGGTCTAAAGAGAATGAGCAAATACATTTAGATCAAAAATTTACCATACTTATGATAACTCTAAGGTTTTGTAGTTCCTAATTAAATCAATAAAATAAATTCACGCATTGATTAGTTTTTTTGAGTAATATAAATCCAAAATTTGAGAACTATTGGGTCAGATAGACGGACAGACGAACAGACAGACGGAAACGGGAGACTTATTTCTTCGTACTCTAGGGGTCATGAAAGTTCAAAAAGTGGTCGCTTTTCTGTATTTGTTTAAGTATTTTGCAAAATTTTAGGATGACGTCATCAAAGTTTTGATACATCTAGATTTGTGGTCACCGATTTGATTCGCGAAGTAGATTGACAAGAACGAAAAATCTGCAGTTTTGTATTGTACGACCTGTGAAACACCAACAAAACACAGAATTTAGCCAAAATCCTCTTCACTGTCAAATTGAAAATTAAAATAGACGATTCAACGGTTTAACAAGGAAGTGTTAGAACTTCTACATAGACCGTATCTTGATTAGTGTATTAAGAGTTGCATTCTCACAACTACCATATAATATGTATTTACAAACTTAATCAAATATCAATTATTTCCAGTTGGTCAAAAAAATTTTGTTAACTGCAGATCCAGTCATTAAAAAATATATTTTCTCTATTAAAGTCTAAAATTTGTTGATTTTACTTCTAATCCAACCAGAGCTGTTCAAAGTACTCAAAAAAAGTACTTGAAGTACCAAGTACAAAGTACTACTTGAAATAGTGTTCAAGTAAAGTACCAAGTACTTACTTTCAGCAAGAGTATTTCAAGTATCAAGTAGTTTTCAGATGTATTTGAAGTACAAGCCAAGTATATTACTTCAAGTACTTACGAGTACTTGAAGTACTGGAGGTATACTTCAAGTACTTACAAATACTTGAAGTACTGAAAATGCTTCAAGTACTTTCTAATTATTTGAAATACTGTAGAACTAAATAACTTTTCCTGTTTTTTTTAAAAAGCTTAATATATTTTAGAACTGAATTTTTTAATACTCAGAATTTAAGTATAGGTACAATAATACATATTTCGCCACATAAAAAATTGCATAAGCGTCAACTTAAATGCAGAATGGTAGCTCACTTATTAATAATACTATGTTATTTATAAACAATATTCTTTTGAAATACTTTTACATCTTTCTGTTGACACAATGACTTCGACAAAATTAACGTCTATTTCTAATTTAAAATTTAAAATAAAATACATGACGGCGTTGTCTATGTATGCTTACTATTAATTTATAAAAACATCGGCGCTGTATGGTATTTTCTCAGGCTTCTGTTGCCTTTTTTTAATATTTTGAATTTTGGTTCACCACCAAAACGTTCTGATTTTTTAATAAAGTTGTGTTAAAAATATATGAATTTTATGAACCGGTTCCGTGTTTAAGTTTGTGGGTAGTTTACAGCACCCTTAATCATTACCCATTGTGAAAGTGCACAGGGCCGGATTTGTGAAACTGAAATTTTTCAGAAAAAAATTTTAGGAGCAGTGCGATACATATACATGCTCGTGACATAAAAATGTTTAAGTCACTATGTTGCATTTTCAAAAAAAACGTATGAATTTTTTAAATAAAAAATAAAATGCCTAAAACGAGAGTACATTTTCAGCGAAAACTCTAACTCTTGAAAAATATCAAGGTGATCAAAGTAATTAGTCGTTTTTTACTTTTGCGGTTACCAAAAATGCTGAGAATTTTCTTGGAATGAATGCCCCATATCCCTGAATATATCTGTCTACCACTTACGTATTTACTATTCTAAAAATTATTAAATTAACCTAAATACTACAGTGACTAAATAGTAAACACTAATCACTACAATGTTTGTCTAACAAAGTATGTAACTTTACACTGACAAATCACAAATAATAGGTTCGTAATGCTGTTCCGTCCATTTATACAAAATTTTGTTCCTCTAATGCCACAATACTTTCAGAATTTTCCTTTACATTTTCGATTGGCTTATTTTTCATTTTTACCTGAAAACCCAAAGAAGATGGCATTAGTAACTGATAACTACAATGACTTCAGGGAATGCCTAACAACGGCTTTTGCGAAAATTCAGGTAAATATGTACTAAATTTATTATTGTTAAAATATTTCGTAGGGGTGTATTTATCTAGGCAATTATACTAACTAATCGCGAATTTCATTAACTTTGTATTTTTTTATAATGTGAATATGTATTTTGTTCCATTTACGGAAGCGGCCACTGACCCTTTTGGGTATCTTTACCTGATATTGTAAATACAGTACTTCTGTAACCGTCCTGTATTTAAACATCGAAAGCGAACGCTGTCTATTATTTCGCACACAACAAAACAAAGGTCCTTCGAGCAATATCAAAGTACAATTCGGTACTCATCAAAACAATACAATCATGGTCGTATCAACTGGATTACAAAAAACATTGGTACTACGAGCCGAGTTTTACAAAACATATTTCATTTTGAACAATATTGGGTTTATGTAATAAGCCATGCAATGTAATACGTAAAGTTGTTATACGGTAATAAATAAAATCTGCACAGGAAAGATAAATGACACTAATTAGTGTGACTTTTAAAATCATTGTTTTTCTGCATTACGTCTTTTTAAATTGTTGGTGTTCAAATAATTCATACAATTTAACAGATTATTTGAAACTCTAATGTGAGAAAATATAAGTTGTAATAACAAACTAAGTTTATATGGCTGAACCATGTATAAACAAAAAAAGAAAATTTGGTAAAAAACGAGTGTCTAACATGATAAAGAAAATTAAACTGCAAAATATTTAACATAAAATTGTGTTTAAATTCTACGAGGAAGAGGCGAATATGAAAGTCTGTACCTGCCATCAGCTATTGCTATTGTAATAAAGGGGATAATCCCCTGCCGAGTTCTCCGCCCTGACCAGGCTTCTGACAAATACACGGCGGGGTTAAGAAACTAATGAAAGAATAAATATCTTTTTGAACGAGTACTGAATCATTTCTCAAATATTTTCAAATCCGACCTTGCACTTTAGCAGGTACGTCAACAAACCCGATTCCCTTTGGGGTACTGAAAAACTACCCGCAAAGTTAAGTTCCAGACCAAAATACAAAAAAGACAAAATTCATATATTCACAACTTTACATCGCTGAAAATTTTACACAGATCTCCGACCCTTCTGCTGTCGTCATCCACTCTCAAATGACATATTTATGACATTAATTTTCTTACCTACCTATCTATCGGCATTATGCAAGTACCTATGAAATGTACGTCATATTGTGGATAAGATATCCACAATCACAGATCAAAATATAACCTCACAGAAAACAAACACGATTTTACTATAAAAATACATCTAATCAAATAATTGAATTAATAACTTCAAGTATTTAACAGACCCTATTTTGAGATGTGAAAACTTCGTAAAATAGAGATTAAAGTATTTGAAATTTCCACTTTCATACTTCAAGTAATTCAAGAGTATTTAAAATACTGAGTGAAGTACTTGGAGTAAAGTACTTGGCAAAATCAAGTACTAAACTCAAGTACATTTTAGAAATACTTCAAGTACCAAGTACCAAGTACCTAAATATAAAAGTACTTCAAGTAAAGTACTTGAAGTACTTAAAGTACTTGAAGTATTACTTCAAGTAAAAGTACTTGAAGTACTGAACAGCTCTGAATCCAACATTAATTCAGTAAAGGGTTACATTTAGCACAGTATAGATATCATGATCTCTATACTGTGCATTTAGACTCAGTTTAGTTCAACCTCAACATCACTGAGAATTATTGGTTGCCTAGAGGTTCAGACTTAATCGTACTATTTCTGATTTAAATTCATGACTTTTTATTTTATCGTGTTAATAATAATAATAATAAATAACGTGGTGTGATGATGATTAAAAACTGTCACTTGTGAAATAACTTCTCCATAATTTTACATTTAATGATGTTTATATAACAAAATTCCTTTATATTTTAGGCCAAACTCGATTAGCGGCTGTTTTTTTGCACTGCAAACTTGAAAAACGACTATACATTTCGACCTGAATTTTGTACGTTTATTTTTTTAGTTCCTTTTAACTTCATCATAATGGCTCTATCCGGTGAATTACGACTTTCAAGTTTTCTTGATGTTTCATGATCCCTAGGGTAAGAAAAAAATAGATTTCCCGTTTCCGCCTGTCTGCCGTAAATTTCTTACAAAATAAAACACCAGCTTTCAAATTCTATCAAAAATAAAACAGACATTTAAAAATTATTTCAAAAAAGAACAATAATATTCTTTCAAAGCTTAAAAAAAACGCGTGATACCCCTAAGATTCTATCAAACTCTTTCCACAACAAATGCCTTTGAAATTCCTTAAAATTATTATCTCAAAAATAAAACACCAAGGTCCCCAGATGCTTTAAATTTCTTACAAAAACAAAACACCGGATACTCCTGAGATTATTTAAACATTAAAAAAAAACATAGGGCGCCCGCGAGTTTCTTTAAAATTCCTTTAAATAAAAAAATATACAGTGCCCCTGGGATTCTTTAAAATTCGTTCAAAAATAAAACATCAATTTTCAAATTCCTTCGAAACTAAAATACGAAGGCTCCGAGATTCATTAAATTTGGGACAAAAACAAAGCACGCCACTGCCTTAAAAATCTTAAAAAAAACACAGGGTGCCCCGCCCCACACAGATATTTTACAATTCTTTGAAAGATAAAGTGTCGCTAAGGTTTTTTAAAATTCTTTCAAAAATAAAGACCCAAAGATCACGAAGGTTCTTTCAAATTCTTCCAAAAATAAAGCAGCGAGACCCTTAGATGCTTAAAATTATTTCATGAACAGAACACCAGTTATTCCAAGA